GTACTCCCTCGGCGGACGCGTCTCTCTCCTTCACACTGGACTCAGGAGCGTCGCACTGCTTCTTCCGCGACTGCACGACTCTCTCTCCGCTACCGGCACCTGTCCCTATAGCACTGGCTGATCCCTCCTCGGGACCGGTCATTGCGACTCACGCCACTACACTCCCGTGCCCAGCTGCTCCTTCTGGTTCCCTGACCGGCCTCCACGTTCCTACGTTCTCTAGGAACCTGGTTGGTGTGGGCACCCTGGCGAGACAGCACGTCGGGGTCTGGGTTGAGCCTTCTGGTGACACCGCAGTCTGCGTCGACGGTGACACGTACGCCCCCTTGGCCACTTTCCGCCAGGAGCCGGGCTCTGGTCTGTACACCCTCCGCACCGACCCCCGTCAGGTTCCCCCGTCCCACCAGGTAGCCGGGTCCAGTCAGGTTGCTGTGTCAGGTGTAGTTGCTGCGTCGTGCTCGTGTCGGTCGCTTGCCCACCCCACCGTTCTGTGGCACCACCGGATGGGGCACCCGTCCCTTCCTCGTCTGCGCGCCATGTCCAGTCAGCGTCTTGTCTTAGGCCTCCCCCGAGTCCTCCCACCACTCCCGCCGTCCCCAGCTCCTCCGTGTGGTCCTTGTGTCCAGGGTCGGCTTCGCGCCACCCCCCACTCCTCCTCCCTTCGTCCGGCCACCGAGCCCTTCCAGACACTCCACAAAGACGTCTGGGGCCCCGCCTCCCGCCTTGGCCCTGAGCGGGAGAGTTTCTTTCTGGTGGTCGTTGACGACTACTCTCGGTACACCACCGTGTTCCCCTTGGCGAAGAAGTCCGACGTGACTTCTACGCTGATCCGGTGGCTCCTCGCCACCGAGGGCACTCGTGGTCGTCGTGTCAGTTGTCTCCACTCCGACCGTGGGGGTGAGTTTCGCTCCGGCATTCTCGCCAGTTTCTGTGCTGAGCAGGGCATCACCCAGTCCTGGACTCTCCCAGACTCTCCACAGCAGAATGGGGTTGCTGAGCGCCGCTTAGGCCTGGTCATGGAGATCGCCCGCACCTCCATGATCCACGCCCGCGCGCCCCATTTTCTGTGGCCCTACGCGGCTCGGTACGCCGCTCACCAGTTGAACCTCTGGCCTCGCGTCTCTCGGCCAGGGGCTTCACCGACCAGTCTTTGGACAGGGTCCCCTGGTGTTGCGTCGAGGTTTAGTGTCTGGGGCTGCTTGGCTCTTGTCCGCGACACCTCTGCGGACAAGATCTCGCCTCGCGCCGTCCCCTGTGTCTTCCTTGGTTTCCCAGAGGGCTCCTCTGACTTCACCTTTTACCACCCACCCTCCCACCGGTTCTTTGACTCTCGTGACGTCCGTTTCGACGAGTCCGTCCCCTACTACGTCAGGTACCCCTCTCGAGGTCTCCCGGTTCCCCCCCCTCCCCTCTTCCTGGCTCCAGCTCCTCCTCCTCCCGCCCCTGCTCCTCCGGTACCCCCCCTGGTCCTGCTCCGTCTGGTGTGTCCCACGCTACTCCCCCCCCCTCGGTACCCCCCCAGGTCTCTCCTCCTTCCCCACAGTCGTCCTCACAGCCTCCGCAGCAGCCGTCAGCGCTTCCTTTACCGGCCACTGCGGACTCTGAGGGTGTTGGTGCTCGGGGTGAGGGCTCTGGCGGTGCTCGCTCTGGGGGTGCTGGCGTTGGAGCTGTTCGTGCACCTACAGGAGCCGCCCGTTCTGGGGGTGTTGGCGTTGGCGCTGAGCGTGCACCTGCCGCGGCTGCCCGTTCCGAGGGTGCTGGAGCTGGTGGTGGTGCTGGAGCTGGTGGTGTTTCTGGAGCTGGAGAGTCTGAGGCTGGTGCTGGTGCCACTGGAGGCACCCCGACTGGGGGTGCGGGTCCACCTCCTACAGGTGCTAGTCGTGCTGCCGCAGGGGGTACACGCTCTGGGGGTTCTCAGCCGGGTGCTGTCGAGGGCGGAGCCGGTTCTTCTTCTTCGTCTCCTGACACCACTCCTCCTCCTCACCCCTACCTGACTCGACACCAGACCCGTCTTCGTCTTGAGCGTGAGGAGCAGCAGCGTTTGGAGCGTGAGAGGTTGGAGGTTCAGCAGCGGGTGGAGCGTGAGAGGCTGGAGTTGCAGCGGGAGCAGCAGCAGCAGCAGCAGCAGCAGCAGCAGCCGCCACAGCAGCCGGAGCAGCCTCCGGCCTCTGTTACTGGCCTTCGGGCCCTTGGTCTCCCCTCCTCCTCTCCTCCTGTGTTCGGTCCGACGTTTCCTCCTCCGGACTCAGCTCCGGCTGTGTTCCCTCGTTCTCAGTCTCCTCCGTCTCCCGCTCCGTCTCCCACTCCTCTCTCCCACACTTGGGCCTCTCGTCCTCCTCGTGCTCGTCCCTCGTCACCTGTCCGTGACCTTCGTACCGTGTTGTTTCGTCCTAGTCCTCCTCGTTCTCCTCCGTCTGTTCTTCCTCGTCCTCCTGAGTCGTCCCTCACTGCCTCCCTGTCCACTCCGGTCACTGACTACTACCGCACGTACCGCCCCACTCTCTCTCGTGTTCTCGCCTCTCTTGTTACAGACCCTCGTGCCTCTCCTTCCTCCGTCGCGGTCCTCACTGCCGCTGTCACAGACTTTACTGCTACGCGTCGCCTTGACTACGCCACTCGCGTTGTGGCGGCTCCTCCTGTCCGTCCTCTGTCCGCCGGGGGTGAGTTTGCCCTTGGCTGTGCCGTCCTAGAGGATAGACAGTTTGAGCTAGAGTTCCTGGCAGCCGCTTCACCTCATCTCTGTGCCATGCTGCTCGCTCCTGAGGGAGACCCCGACGCTCCTGACATACCTACTCCTCGCACTTACGCTGAGGCAGTGTCAGGGCCTTGGGCCTCTCAGTGGAGAGCTGCCATGGACGCAGAGATGGCCTCCTACAGGTCCACAGGCACTTACGTTGACGAGGTTCCCCCCCCAGGGGCGAACATTGTTGACGGCATGTGGATCTTCAAGGTGAAGCGGCCGCCGGGATCTCCTCCAGTCTTCAAGGCACGCTACGTGGCTAGAGGTTTCAGTCAGCGTGAGGGAGTTGACTTCTTTCAGACCTTTGCGCCCACCCCGAAGATGACCACTCTTCGGGTGTTACTGCACGTAGCAGCGCAGAGAGACTACGAGCTACACTCTCTCGACTTCTCCACTGCCTTCTTGCAAGGCAGCCTACACGAGGAGATCTGGCTGCGTCGTCCTCCGGGCTTCACTGGCACTTTCCCGCCTGGGACCCAGTGGAGCCTCAGACGACCGGTCTACGGTCTCCGCCAGGCACCCCGTGAGTGGCACGACACTCTCCGCTCTACTCTGTCCGACCTTGGGTTTGAGCCGTCTTCCGCCGACCCGTCGCTGTTTGTTCGTCGTGGGCGCACACCTTTCTTTGTTCTTGTCTACGTTGACGACCTGGTTTTTGCCACAGCCGACACAGTTGCACTGGCGGAGGTGAAGTCCGAACTGCAGAAGAGACACACCTGCACTGACCTTGGGGAACTGCGCCGCTACCTTGGCTTGCGGATCTCCCGGGACAGAGCCGCTCGCACCATCACCCTGACTCTGTCACACATGGTGCAGCAGGTCCTTCAGCGGTTCGGGCTTCAGCACTCCTCTCCTCCTCCCACCCCTCTTGCTGTAGACCACAGACTCACTGGGCCTTTTCCTGACGAGCCGTTCGAGCCCAGTGGTCCCTACGCAGAGTTGGTGGGCTGCCTCATGTACCTGATGACGTGCACTCGCCCGGACCTCGCCTTCCCTCTTAGCATCCTTTCTCGCTTTGTTGCGACAGGGAGACACCGTCCTGTTCACTGGGCGGCAGCTAAGAGGGTGGCGAAGTACCTCGGCGCGACATCAGACATGGGGCTTGTACTTGGAGGGACACAGCCAGTTGTACTCACCGGTCACTGCGACTCCTCCTACGCCGACGACGTTGAGTCACAGAGGTCTACACAGGGTTACTGTTTCAGCCTGGGCTCTGGAGCTGTTTCGTGGAGGTCTACTCGGTCCTCCTCTGTTGCGACTTCTACCGCAGAGGCCGAGATCTACGCTGGAGCCCTCGCTGCACAGGAGCTACGCTGGTTGACCTTCTTGCTTAGTGACCTTGGTGAGCGGCCGAGCTCTGCACCGACCTTGTTTGCTGACAACAAGGCGATGATTCTCCTGTGTCGTGAGCCTCGACTGGAGAGCAGGGTGAAGCATATCGACGTCAGGTACTTCCTCCTTCGAGAGTTGCAGAGACGTGGACAGGCACGTCTGGACTTCGTGGCCTCCGAGGCCAACACTGCAGACATCTTCACCAAGGCTCTTCAGCCTTGTGACCACCGCCGGTTTTGTCTGCAGTTAGGCCTTGTTGAGACTGGGTCTAGTAGACTGCAGTAGTGAGTTCTTGCCTCTTGCTTGTTTGTACCATATATATATTAGCTTGTACACTCTTGAACTGGCCTTGTGGCCACTTGTTTGTGCTCAGAATGTGTGGTGACGTTGAGATCCACCCTGAGCTTTGTTTTCTCGCTTGCTTGTGACTGGTCTTGTGACCTTAGGTTGTGTTCTGTTACTTGGTATGACCCACTTAGGCTATGGGGGTGTGTCAAATGTTATAGCCCTTAGTGGGTCATACTATATGGGGTACAAACAATTAGGGTTAGGTACTTGTACCCCAACTCAATCAATGCAAGTCATTCCGCTGTGTTTAGTTACTGAGAGCGACCCCCAAATCTGGCGGGTGGGGATTCCCGCCAACTTTCCACCCCATAAAACAATCGCAACCAATAGTTGCGCCCACGTGCATTTCACACAACTCACCTCACCCGGTTGCGCGACATCCACCCCACCACCACGCCCGTCAAAATTCCCGATGGACCTGATGCGGCTCCAGAACCCATCCCAACCAGACCCCAACACCCAAGGGTTTCAACCCGCTTGAGTAGACTCCCAAATGTATGAAATAGATCTGGAGCACACACACACAAGGTCACAACACACCACCCGCGCCTTCCCGATCTAGCCACCCCAGAGAACCGCCATGCCTCCGAGACGTAGCTCCCGTGGCAAGGGCAAAGAAAAGGTTAGCGATGACGAGCCCATCGATGACCCGCCCTATGTTGCGTGGATGAAAGAGCAGCAAAAGCAGGGGAAATCGTCCCCGTCCATCAAGCGTATGTCTAAGATCGTGCGTGAATCTGCGGACACGAGCGCCAGCCGCGGGACCAGGCATGATGACGCAGACACCGGTGCGGAGACGGACGTTTCGGACGACGATCTCGAAGAGATCGTGTCCGAATCTGATAGCGACAGTGGTTCCGAAAATTACAAGGTCGGCTCCGACGACGATGAGGAAGACACGGACGGCGGTGAAGAAGGAAGTGGTGACAACCGCACCAACCGCCGTAAGAAGACAGTCGATCCGCCACCTGCCAAGCCCGGGAACAAGCGGCAGTGGTCGGATGCCGAGCTAACGTCCCTCGCTGCGGCCCGATGGAACACAAAAGATGATCTTAAGGCTATGCAAGGGAAGCAGGGTAGCCAGTACTGGCAAAAGCTCCGCGCACACATGGTGGAGAAGGACAAAAACTGGGATCGGGATGAGGGCCAGATGTCTAACGTCTGGAAGCGCCTGGAGAAGAAATACATGAAGACGAAACGGGGGGAGGGGAAGAGCGAGGGGAAGGCGATTAAAAAAAAGTCGTGGTACGAGTATGTGTACCACCTGAGGAAGCATTCCGCCAAGGCCAAACCCCACGCCCTCGACGGTGGTGGCGCGGCCAATATCGACGTCCCAGCTTACGCAACTGTTCCTGGCAGTAACGACCGGGAGAACTCGGGGCCGGCATCGCAGGGCCGTGTGCGCGGGGTGCGCCATCAGCCTGCCACACCAGGTGTGTTATGCGCCCATGTATGTATGGCCGGTTTCATCTGTGGTTGTTCGTGTCTCACACGCCATGCCTAAGAAATGTTTGGTCGTTAACCTGCCGTGGCATTTCTGTACATGCTTTGCAATGTCGTCACCTGTGCTGTTGAAACGGTTCATAACCCAGACACTAATCAAAAGCAACAACAAAAACAGCAAGATGCATACAAACAAACCGCTTTATTGCCATACTACTACCGACTCCCATCCCCTACAGATGCCGGGGTGACCCCACCCCCTAAGAGACGGCGGATTGATGAGACTGCAACTATGGCTGTCGCAAAACTAGTGACGGACGCCCTCAACAACAACAACGCGACGGTGGTGCGCCAGCTTCAGGACTCCACCCAGCTCCTCGTCGCAGCCATGAACATGGCTGCGATGCAGGCGGGCGTACGTCTACAGATAGCCGGCCCACCTGTTCCACTCGCTCCACCTTCGACCACCCCGCCTCCACAATAGCCGACAGGGGCCGCCGACGAGCACATGGCGGCGTCTGATGATGTCGAGCAGCAGGGGCCGCCTTAGCGCGCCGATTGACGCACGCGGTGACGCCTCAGGTAAGCGCGATGGATATGCTTGCCGAAGTGACGCCTGCGCGCGCGCAATTCGGCCAGAGTGGGGTTGTCGAGCCTCTTCCACTGATAGTTGTTCATGCCGCTCCTTGTCCACCAGCCGTTAGGGATGCCTGCCCATATTATACGTCGCGGGTTGTTGGTCCTCATCCTCGGCGTGCTAACAACCTGCATCATGTTGTGCAGGATGATGATGCAGGCCGTCCCCGCGCAAACCCGCCAGAGTTTGCTCTCGTGCCTGCGTGAGAAGAGCCTCCAGCGTCCCTTCCGATGGTGCGCTCGACGACCATGCGGGTAGCAGACTGTACGTAGTTGTACGTCTGCTCCCATTTCCTCATCAGGCGTTCCCGTGGAGCGTGGAGTGGGGTGAGCATGTACGGCTTCAGAGGATAGGCCGCGTCGCCCACCAGTTGAGATTTCCCCACTCTCTAGCCTGCCATGCAAATCTAAAGTAGAAAAAACTCCTTGATCGTGCATGCTGCCGGGATTGCCCACCATGTAATCCCAGATAATGCCTTTGGAATCACATGTGAGTTGCAGCTGCACACTGTAAACCGACTTCCTGTTGTAGTAGTCTACACGGTGGTTCTCCATGCCCCGTATCTCAACATGGGTCCCATCAATCGCTCCAATCACGTTGGGTACGCCTTTGATAGCCTGGAAATCATGCGCCATCTCTTCTCTCACCTCTTCACCCGGGAACTGCACCCAGTCACTCTTGAATTTGCGTGGGAACCACACCAGAAAAGCGTCGACGAGACGGTGGATGAGGTCTTTGGGCAAGCCAAACATGAGGCTCATATCGTGATATCTCATTGCGCTTGCAAAGTACTTGATTGGAATAAGGCAGCAAAGAGACAATGGGACGCCATTGTTTTCAACAAACTTTGACATGGGGTGTGGCATACGCTCGGCAATGAGGTCGAGAACTTCGCGGGTGATACGGAAGGTGTCTTCAAACTCCTCATCAAACATCGCGCGGATCTCCTCCGTCCAATCGGCTACACGAGCCTCGCGACGTCGTTTCCGCTTCTCCAGGCGCTCGGCTTCGCGGCGGGCGCGATCAGCGTCTTCAGCCTCAGCCATGGGTAGGATGGTGGTTATCCACTCGACTGCCGCGAGGGAGACTACACGTTGGCAGGTGTTTAACAGATACTCATGCCAAAGGTGCAAGGCGATGCACAATATGAGTACCTGCCGGGTGAGCATGGTTTTAGTAGGACCGGGAAGCGATGTTCTACGTGTGGTCTACCGCTGTCTACTTCAGCTGGATTTCGCGCTGGTACGTTGCGGGCGGTCTTGGGCGCCGCGCTGGTGTCAAGTCAGCTAGCGGTGGTCAAGCTCGTGCTTGTAGCCATGGTGTCCGGAGCGGGGGTCCGAATGGTCTCTGGCAGCTTCATTCGTTTGTATGCGTTGTGTGTTTTACAGGGTTGGGGTACACAAAAGCACTGTGAATGGGAAATTGACGGGAGTGAGTACAACACGACGTCCGTCAATGGGGGGGGGGATCGTACATGGGGTCGCGCACCACTCTGATTGGTTAGGTTTACATTGGGCTTGACGGTCGCACCCAGGTTGGAGGATGGCCCAAAGTTCGTGCCGCGCGCGGTTCCGTCTCTCACTTTGGGGCATGCGTGATTTTTGGATGCCCCGTACAGTAGCCAGAACAGTGCTCATGACCCGAAGTTGGATACGCCCTAACTCCCCACCAAATTGTTGCTGGAATCTGGCAAGGAGTCGCTTGAACTCCCCAGAGAATCTCTTGAGCTCCCCAGGTAGTCGCTTGAACTCCCAGGTTGAGCTCCCAGAAAGTGAGTACATTAGTTGGCGCATTTTGCGCTTGAAGCAGCCAGCTGTGCTCATACTAGCTCTTCTGTACATGTGCATTGTGAGAAGGAACCTTTGTTCAGATGGGGTTGCTGTACACGTCTTCCTGATACTATAGAAGCACCCTGAAAAATGACTCTTGTGATGCCACGTGGGCCTTGATTTGGCTGCATGAGAAAAGCCAGGAGCCTAGAAAATGTGTTTGCAGCGTATTCTCAGCGCTTTGACCGAACTCGAGAGAAATCTGGCCAAGGGGCTGCGAGGCCGTGCAACCTCGATGAGCCTTGACGATAACGCTTGGCGCAACAGTGCGCGACAGCTTCGCGTTTTCCTCCAAACCGATATTCTTGGCTATTCATACGAGAGAATTTCTCCAGACCCGTGTTTGGTGATTTGCCGTTGCACACGTGGCCTCGAATTGCTACCGTGGTCAGACAATTTGATGATAATTGCTTGAGTGGTCTTGCCAGAGGTTTCCTATGACCTTTTTTTTATACGGCACATAACCCAGAAAGGGTTTCTAGCCCGAAATTCTTACATCGAAAGTGTCTTTTCCCGCAAAAACGTGGCGTACAATTTTCCGCCCGAAAATTTCGGCTGGGTGACGTGCGCGAGGGCGGCCACATCACGATCATTTTGACGAACAGTCACGCTCATTTTCGGTCCTAATCTTGACCAATCCGCGCATAGTGATATAATTCCCCGATCATATACTCAGTTGCACGGCTGTCCATACGCGCGACCAATATTCCGAGTGCGCCTGATTCGTCAACTTTATGCGCGAAGCACTTTTTGACCTTGCGCGTCCAATCAGACGCGGTCAAGTAAGATCGCGCTCATATAAAACCGCGCTAAGGAAGATTGAGTAGTATTCTAAACTGACGAATCCTGAACTAAATACACACGCCCAAACATATAATTGGGCCAATTAGGCTCAAATTGATACGCTTAGTCACGGTTGCTACGTCAGTATCAAGTTACCGCGCTTTTTTTTAATTGAAGTACCATAGCTCAGACACCATATCTTCTCGTCATTTTAGGTTGACATCCAACTTTGCCCTCACTTAGACCACGTATGTCCTCTATCTCTTCTAGGAGGCTACGGAGTTAGGACGTTCCTACTAGCCGCCATGGACTCGTCATTTAATACTTCTAACACAGAATACGACTCAGGCGACGAAGATGCGGAGTTTTGTTTTGTTGGCACTGGGGAGCCCAAACAATGTGATACGTACCGTGCGTGATAGGTTCGCAATGAGAGTCAGGCAGTGGCTATTGCCAAGCTCGAGAGGCAATTGCGTGACCTGATGCTTTCCCGTACTCCACAGCCTCGCGTTGGCGGTGTCGCTGCAGGGGAGGGACATGGTGATGTGGGAGGGGACGCTGCAGGAGAGGGACATGTTGACGTGGGAGGGGACGCTGCAGGGGAGGGACATGGGGATGTGGGAGGGGATGCTGTAGGGGTGGGACATGGAGATGGGGGAGGGGACAACGCTGGCACACATGACAGCATGAGAGGTGCACACGGTGAGGGTCCTGTGGCTGACGTTGAGACGGGTGTAGGTGGGAATAAGAGTAAGCTTGACGGTGTTGGAGAGGGTGATATGGCGGACGGTGCGAGGAGTGACAATGAGGAGGTGGGGGGGAATGATGAAGGTGCCGGAGGCAACCCTGGTACTACCCTTGGTAACAGAGGTGCAGGAGAGGTCATGGGTGCTGGGCATGGTGTGACAGCCTCGAACGCAGATGTGGATTTGGTGTCCGCCCAGAGCACAGGGGCTGAGACAACGAGTCGCAACACTGCGCGTGGTCGAGCTCCTAGCTCTGGTTATACCGGCATAAGCAAACGGGAAGGTAGGTGGGCGGCACGGCTGTGCGTAGATAGCGCTAAGAGTAAGTTTTTAGCGCTGGGACGGTATGCGGAGATCTTGGATGCCGCAAAAGCATATGCGGCAGCCGCCCACATTTGCCGACCGTCCCTCTCCAGCTCAATGATGGTGGAGTTGAGCGTGGAGGAGAGGCGGTGCTTGGAGGGACTGACGGCGCATGGGGTTGAGAGGTTAGTGGAGGCCAAGCGATGGGCAGAGTGGAGGAACTGGCGAGAAGTGCTCGGCAGCCTCCCTGAGCCTTCCATCCCAACGCCAGCAGGAGTTCACACACAGGCTCCACCTCCCTTTTCCCACCACCACCCTGGAGCCACGCTTGGCAACTACCACCCGCCAGCCGCCGCCTTCGCGGGACACGCCGGTGCAACCCCAAACCCCGGTGCATGGCAGCCGTACACCCAGAGCCACCCTCCTCCCAACCTCCATTTTCTATCCCAGCAGTTTGCTTTCAACCAAATCTCAATCCATCAATTCAGCCAGGTGAAAGCCCCTATCGCTGTACACCCTACCCCTTCAGTACCCATCACTCCCAACCCTGCAGGCCATGCCGCTTCACATAACACGGCACCCCATCCCCATGTCCTACCAACACCACCATCCGTTGCACCCAGCATGGCACATCCAGTATCCGACCCACAAGCCCAACAAGTCCGGCCCGCTGAGCAAACTGGTCAGGCCAGGGTAGATGGCATGACATATTCACAGTCGACTTCTCCCAACAACCCCAACCCCACGTCCCACGGCTCCGTATTGGCAAGCGAGCCAGCAACAGGTGAGATGTGTTGTTGTGTAATAGTGCTTGTTCATATGCCGTAGTTTCAATAAACCATGCACTAATCTAATGAATTTGGATCTTCACCTGTGCAGGTGCGGCGGACGACATCATTGATGCCTTTCTTGGTCAAGCTGCACAATAACTGATGAGACGTATGGTCAGCATGACATTGCGTGATCCGTATCATATCAAATCTACGTTACATTATTGTCGACATGCCTAGAGATACAAAAAACCCTCTGACTGCTACATGAACGGAACACACAGTGTTATATAGGAATAATGGGAAAACGCCGGTAGTGACAACGTCTCTCAAATTTATTAATATAGTTTTATATCAATAAAACATATCACACACACATGCGAGCATCACATATGCGCGCTCATATAGGTAAATGTGCGGTTTTATATGAGCGCGATTTTACATGACCGCGTCTGATTGGACGCGCAAGGTCAAAAAGTGCTTCGCGCATAAAGTTGACGAATCAGGCGCACTTTGTATATTGTTCCCTGTATGGACAGCCGTGCAACTGAGTATATGATCGGGGAATCATATCACTATGCGCGGATTGGTCACGATGAGGACCGAAAATGAGCGCGACTGTTCGCCAAAATGATCGTGACGTGGCCGCCCTCGCGCACGTCACCCAGCCGAAATTTTCGGGCGGAAAATTGTACGCCACGTTTTCGCGGGAAAAGACACTTTCGATGTAAGAATTTCAGGGCTAGAAACCCTTTCTGGGTTATGTGCCGTATAAAAAAAAGGCCATAGGAAACCTCTGGCAAGACCACTCGAGCAATTATCATCAAATTGTCTGACCACGGTAGCAATTCGAGGCCACGTGTGCAACGGCAAATCACCAAACACGGGTCTGGAGAAATTCTCTCCTATTGATACGCAGACGTTGGCTGTGTTTTCAGTGTAGAATGACATGTGCAGCTTGGTATATCTCAACGGAACGTCACCCCGGGCAAAACGGAGCGCCACCCCCGATTCCGTTGAGAGATACAGCTGCGACTTACCAACGGTATATTCTGGTTCAGCGAGCCTCACTGGATAAAAAAACATTTGCTTCGCTCAATTGACTCGTTTGAAGGTTTCGAATCGATTTGCACCTGCCATGGCTGACTTCGAGAACCAGAAGGCACTGGAAAAGATTCACGCGTTACAACTCACAAGTGATCCCGCCAGTGAGGCTGCCAGCGTTAGCGCCTCCTAACGACAGTCCTGGACTACTAATGCCTCCCTAGTGTCAGTGCCATTTTCATAATTCCCCAACAGTCCCACCAATCCTCAAATTTCGTCTCACTCTCTCGTACGTTTCCTTCCCTCAAATTTCAGAACTGCGATGTGGTGGACCGCTTGCCTGCACACCTCTGGCACATCATCTTCCGCCGTCTGGTTCTGCCACCGCCGTCCCCGCCAGACCCTGCAGAGCTAGCGGATCCTGATTTGGATGATGAAGCATGGTTTCTTCTACACGATTCTCACGTCGCTGAGTATGCTGCTGTCTGCAACCAGCTTAGGAAACTACTTCATTCGTATGGCTCCGCAGCAGCTCTGCTCTCCTGTGCTGCTGCCAGCAAAAGGCTACTCCACCATGTCCTCTCGTTCTCGGTGTGTAAGGGTGGTTTTTTTTTTTTTTTTTCCAGAACTTCTCGGTGTGTAAGCTTTCAGATCTTCTTACTTGTGCATGTACGCACTATATATTGTGTATTGTGTAGAACGGAAATGTTCTTTTTTATGTCATTATGGTAGATCTTACGGGTTCCTTGACATATTTTGGTGACCATGGTAAACATTGTTTCAGATTGCCTGTCAATTGTTGCTTGCAGGAGTCAAAGCCCCTCTCTTTCAAGTTCAACAAGTACTACCCCGAATGGAAGACGAGGTTTTGCTGGTTTCTCAAGAAGAGCGGACACAAGTCTCTTGACATCTCCCTTTCAACTGAAGAACTCCGATCTCCTCACCATTTGATTTCATCCTCCAAGCCCTCTCTCTCTAAACCACGAGTTCATACACGGAAACCCATCTCTCCTTTCTGAAGGATTTTGGGCACCTGCAGCAGCTCAAGTTGTGTTCCGACAACTGGAAACTGGGATTGCTAGACCTGAGATGGTTCAGGTCTCTGCGCATTTTGACCATCAAGGATGTGAGATGTAGAACTGGAGACATGAGGTTCCTTGCCACCTTAACACCACAGCTGCATGAGTTCACTCTCGAAGGTCCAAGGTTGTATCTCGGTACTTCACGCGACCGGCGCAACATGGGCCTTAGCAGCTTTGTCTTCGAGTTCTCTGTTGCTCGAGTCATCTGCTTTCGTTTCCGCATGCAGCATCTTAAACTCACCCTCACCCTCCCTTCCTCGCTCAAGTCCTTCACTGCTATAGGAGCGCCTGTTGAGCTTGCCTGCAAGGCCAAAACCCCGCTTTCCCTTGACCATCTCATGCTCTATGGCTGCCAGTTGTTAGATGCTTCATCTTTCCCCGTCAGGTCTGCCAGAGCCGTCTATCTGAATGGACCCCACATGGAGGGAATCTTTAGCCCGCACAGTAGTGCTGAGCTGATTGCTGCTGACATTTCTCATCCGTCCTTGACGCGGTGGCTTGCTGCTATAGCGTCGTCAGTGGAGGTGCTTATAGTGAGGCACGATCTTCCTTTGGAGAAGGTGGATGTAGAGTGGACAAGGCTGAAGAGCCTCGGGATTGTCGTGAACTCCCTAAGAGCTTTCTGTGGAGAAAAGGATACGCCTGTGGAAGATACCCTGGATATCACTCAGCAGCTGAAAGCAGCAGCTGTGCAATGGAGAAACTTCAGGCCTTCCTTCATCAGTACTCCATTCCTGCAGGCCCTTTTCTTCCCAACTCGCTTCTCGCATACAGCGTTGTCAGTGGGCAAGTTTTACCCCTCCCTGACATTGTACGGCATGGTCTCACAATCGTACTCCTGGAAGCGAGACGGTAATGAGGAGGACGAGGAGCCGTCGATGCATGAGAGGCTTGATTGGAGCACAGTGGAAAGGTCTTGTGTGATAAGCTACACGGCTGTTGGGCAGGAAATGCACGATTACAACCAAGGGTTAGTGAAGGGGTACAGAATGCACAAAGAGGATGTACATATTCGCTGACAGCGTTTGAGTAGTTAGGGAGTAAATGTTCGGTTCAGTGTATCATTGTTTGATTTCATTGATACTGTTGGAAACAAGAAGTCGCTAGAGCGCAGCGGAAGCTCTAGGAATTAACGACGTCCCTACGGCGGGGCAATGGTCACTCAGAGGTAGCTCTCCTAGCTTGTAACTTGGTGCCAGAGCAGCGGCCGAGGGTAGGCCGGACACAAGCTTGGGAATTGTGTAATATGAGCAAGGCATTACATTCTGTTATATAGCAAACAGATAGGGCAAACAGTTACCAAGGCGCAACTGTATAACAGTTGCGCTGCGTCGCTTGGGTTGCCTTGTTACAGTCGCACTGGCGAGACTTTTCAGCTTCGGCAAGGGCGCGGTATCCTGCCGCGCCCCGCAGGTCAGTTGCGTGTCTTGTTCTCGCTGCCTCCTGCAGAATCCGACTTTTCAGCTGCCACGCGGGTCGCAACCGCTGTGCTCGGTTGCGCCCCGTTGACTCGCCACCAGGTTCAAATCCCTCGCTATGGCGAGCCCCTGTAAGCACACTTCGAACAGTGCACTTATAATAAAAGCATACAAACATATTCTCAACAGATACTACCAGTGTGGCTGAGTACAAAGGCCTGGAGAGAGACGGGGTGCTGGAATCAGTGTACTCATTTACTGTACTGTAGGTAACTAGCCAACATGAGGCATGGGGAGACTGTTCCTTGCTCTAAAATACTGTATGATCCACAAACAGCACAGCCTAAGTAACGTACCACTAGTTGTACCAGTAGTAGTAAGTACATGTGAAACTTGAGCATAACTTATGTTCCTTCACGGAACCCTTCAGTCCATCACACCACCAAAGATTACACCGCCTGTTATAGCCACTCTGATGGTCACATGAAGCCAGCAGGCCAAATCAAGCATCTCAAACATTGCATTGCTCTAGTACACACAAAAGAATTGAAGCTGCTGGCATCCTACCCAGCAGTAGTACCATCCTATCAGCAAGGCAGACTAGCAGTCTCGTATCGTGTCAGGTGTACATTAGGTGCATTTCGACAGGGGTGCTGACGGCGTGTATTGGAGGCAGTACAGTGCAGCCTCGGGACATCTAGAGGGTGCATCTAGTGGGGTAACTGGCAGAGTATGGCTTGCATCGCATATGACCGCATTGAACCGCACCGCGCCACATCGCATCAGACCGCATCACATGACATGGCAGGCTAGATGTACACGTTTCTGACGTCGTTTTGGCCAAAGGGCACACCACAGCCAGGGCACTTGCGGTGGCGCAACTCGAGGTTCTTCTGGATGCAGGGCGAGCAGAAGAGGTGGAAGCACTTGGTGATTACCACCTGTCAGTTGAGGGGGTGGAGGGGCAGAGAGGAGAGGAGCCGACACAGGAGCTGTTTAGATTGAGCTTGGACAACTGCAGCTCCAAACTCGAGGTTCTCCTGAATGCAGGGTGAACTGAGACGCAACACTTGGTTATCACCACCTGTGACGAGGGGGAAGGAGTTTGGATTGAAAAGGAGGGAAGAAGGAACAGGAGCTGCTTAGATTGGGGCTTGCACAGCTGCAGCTCTTCCAGTTGCAGCTCTTCCGGTTGCAGCTCTTCCGGTTGCAGCTCTTCCGGTTGCAGCATACACCTCACCAGTGGTCATCTCACCTATTACTTTGGCCAGGTCTGGCAGATCACCACACTGCACATCTCTCATTTTCTTTGTGGACGAATGTGCTGTCAACACACGTTTAACTTGGCGTTTGGATAAAGGGGAGACTTCCTTTAACCTCACCTCTTTCTGCCTGCTGTGGCACACGAAGAACTTCATGATTGACTTGTATTGCCACAGCTCCTCCTGCAGCTTCTCCCCTGCACCACCGATGGGCTCCCCTGAACCCTGTGACTTTTTAACCGACGACTCTAGCGCAAGCCTACCGTGACACACTCACCTCTTTCTGCCGGTCGTGGCACACAGAGCACTTCATAATCGACTTGTATTGCCGCAGCTCCTCCTGCAGCTGCTCCACCGATGGCCCCCCTGACCCTCCTCCCCGCTCCATGGACTGGCCCAGCCTCGCCAACCGTGCTGACAGCACGTCCCTCTCCTCCTCCACTCGCCTCCGCTTGTTCCTGCGGGGTGAAAGGGCAAGAGAACAAGAGTGAGGGATGGAAAGCAGTGCAGCTCAAGTGTGCATCCACAGATGGGCCCCCTGACCCCCAGCCCCGCTCCATTGACTGGCCCAGACTACCCAATCGCGCTGGAAGCGCGTCCCTCTCCTCCTCCACTCGCCTCCGCTTCTTCCTGCAGGATGAAATCGCAGGGGAGCACAGTGAACGGATGGAGAGCCGAGAGACTCTCAACTTTGCACGCCTCATCTCCCTAATCCCCCGACCCCCACCCAGCTCCATCAACTGGCCCAGCCTCGCCAACCGTACTGACAGAGCGTCCCTCTCCTCCTCCACTCGCCTCCGCTTCTTCCTGTGGGGTACACGGGTAGGATGATAGAGTGAGCGGATAAGCCAGGTCCTGCTGAAGCCCCCCCCTTCTGGCTCATAATCCCTCACGAACATAACCCACCACCCTCAATGCGCACATGCAAACCCATCTTTCGCTCTCCAGCTTCTCCTCCATCTCCACCATCTGCGTGTTCCTCGCTTCTCCCTCGCTCAAGCCAACATAACTCCCCACCCGTTCCCCACATAAAGCCACCGACCTTTCGCTCTCCAGCTTCTCCTCCATCTCCACCATCTGCGTGTTCCTCGCTTCTCCCTCGCTCAAACCAACATAACTCCCCACCCGTTTCCCACATAAAGCCACCGACCTTTCGCTCTCCAGATTCTCCTCCACCTCCGCCATCTGTGTGTTCCTTGCAGCCATGTCCTTCTGGGAAACCTCCTCTTTGGCGCTTTCTCCCTCGCTCAAGTACACATAACTCCCCACCCATTCCCCACCCACATAAAGCCACCTACCATTTACTCTCCAGTTTTTTCCCCCCCTCCACCATCTGCGTATTCCGCGCAGCCAGGTCCTTCTGAAGCCCCCCTCTGGCTCATTACCCCTCGCTCCCCACACCAACCCGTGCCCCCACACCACCCCGTGCCCCCACTCCAACCCGTGCACCCACTCCTCACATAAATCCACCTACCTTTCACTCTCCACTTCTCCTCCACCATCTGTGTGTTCCGCTCCGCGCACTCAGGTCCTTTTGAAGCCCCTCCATCGCCTCCCTAGCAGCTAATGTCTCTCTCTCCATCTCCACCTGCTTCTGTGTCACTGTGCAGCTTCATCCCCCCTCTCACAGACACACATCCCCCCCAATGCCATGACCCCCCACCCCCTCAACAAACATATACGCGCCCCATGGTGAGTCACCCACCTTTCAGTCTCTGCTTCTCGCTGTGCAGCTTGATTCCTCACTCACAGAGAGACATCCCCCCCATGCCATGCGCCCCCAACAGCCACATGCAACCCCACAGTGAGTTACCCACCTTTCACTCTCCAGCTTTTCTTCGACCTCCACCATCTGTGTGTTCCGCAAGCTCAGGTCCTTCTGAAGCCCCTCCATGGCCTCCCTGGCAGCCGCCGTCTCCCTTTCCATCTCCGCCTGCTTCCGCTTGCCCGCCTCCACACTGCCTGCCATGCCCCTCGCATCCTCCACCGCCTTCGCCAGCTGCTCGTATGCGCTCTTTACCTGCGGGTGTATTGGGCGGGAGGGATGGGGGTGGCGGGTGGGCGGGGCGGGGGGGAAAGCAAAGGGGGGACGACAAGGAGAGGGGCGAGGGAAAGGGAGAGGGGAAGGAGGGGGTTTGGAAGGGCGAAAAGGGCAGATGGGACGGCAGAGGATGGAAGAGGGTAGTGGGTGCTGTCTCCCTTTCCATCTCCGCCTGCTTCCGCTTGCCCGCCCCCACACTCCCCGCCATGCCCCTAGCGTCCTCCACCACCTTCGCCAGCTGTTCCCACCTTGCCTTCACTTGCACGTGTGCAGAGAAAGGGAGTACAGGAGAGGAGAGGGAGAGGGAGAGGGAGAGGGAGAGGGAGAGGGAGAGAGGAGGGGAGAAGGTGGGGAAGGTATGGCAGAGGGAGAAGCAGCGGAGCAGGAGAAAGAGAGTGGAAACGTATATGTTGGGCTGTCTGCATCTGTCTCTGCGCCTCCATCCTTTTTTTCACTATTGCAGACACATCTCCGCCATCCCCCTGCTGTCCTTTGCATCCAAACTGCTCCCATGTGTGCTGGACGAGACAGGCTCGCTACGCGCCGATGACTTGTCCCCATACCTCCCCATACCTCCCCATACCTGCTCCCCATACCTCCCCATACCTGCACCCCACACCTGCTCCTGTTGCCATCTGCTGCGCGTGCACATCAGCAGAGGTGGTAGTGTGCTGCATAAGTGTAACCATGCCGAGCTTGTTCACCTGCAGCTGCTGCCCGGCCTACCAGCACACTCTTCCACACCCCTGCACACCTGCGAATTTCTTCACATCTACACACCTGCACACCCCTCCACATAGGCAAACCCTTCCACTCCTGCACTTCCAACCGAACCACCCGTTGCTTGTTCACGTCAGCGGCAGTAGCATGCTGCATGCGCGTCTCCAAGCGCTGCTTCTACGTCTGCAGTGCAGCTGCCCTACCCGCATACCTGCACACCCACAATCCCCTCCAAAACCTACCTGTTCTTCCAGCCGTGTCACCCGTTGCTTGTGCACATCCGCAGCGGCAGTAGTATGCTGCATGCGCGTCTCCATGCTCTGCTTCTCCGCCTGCAGCTGCCTGCCCTACCCGCATACCCGCATACCCACATTCCCCCACACACCTGCATACCCCTCCAAAATCCAACTGCAACACACAAAATTCCTCCTAACACCTCTCCACACCCCTCCACACCCCCCCACACACCTGCTCCTCCAGCCGCACCACCCGCTGCTTATGCACGTCAGCAGCAGCCGTGGCGTGCTGCATGCGCGTCTCCATGCTCTGCTTCTCCGCCTGCAGCGACGCCTGCAGCTGCCTGGCCTTGACGCCCTCCGCGATGAGCTGCGTGTTGTACTCGTCCCGCTCCGATATCTGCTGCAGCAGCCGCCGGTTCTGCGACTGCATCTCCTCGTAGGCTGCTCCTATGGTCTGCGGGGCGGCGTGGAGAGGAGGGAGTGGAGGGAGGCAACGAAGGAGAGACCAGATTGACGCATTGAACCCGCCGGTTCTGCGACCGCATCTGTTCATTTGCTGCTCCTATGGTCTGGGGGGGGTGGCAGGGAGAGGGAGCGGGGTAGGTAAGGAGAGGCAATGAGAGGAGGAGAAGAGGAAGGATATGGAGAGCCTTGACCCCGCCGGTTCTAGATCTGCATGTGCTGGTAGAGTGCCTGTACTGAGCTCTGGGAAAAGGAATAGCCACGTGAAAAAAAAAGTAGTGTTTTGAGATCCCTCAAAACACTACTTTCTTCACGTAGCCTTGACCCCGCCGGTTCTAGATCTGCATGTGCTGGTAGTGTGCCGGTACTGAGCTCTGGGAAAAGGAGTGTGCGGTTATGGCATGGCAGCAACATGAGCGTGACACAATGCTGCTGGCCAAAAGAGGCACAGGCGAGATTCACATACACAAGTTTGTAACACGGGAAATGAGTCTGGCGCAGGCTAGCCTGCGCCTTCAAGGTGACTTTTGAGTCGACTCAAAAGTCACCTAGTTTGTAACACGGGGGAATGAGTCTGGAGCAGGCTAGCCTGGGCCTTCACATTGCAGGGTTGTGCACGCTCGACAGACTTGTTTGTCCAAGAACAAGCGGAATACGGACCTGTATCTCGGTGATGTATGCCTGTGGGCGGGAGCAGGCTAGCCCGTCTATTAGACAGGCGGGAGCAGGCTAGCCTGTCTGTATCCATTAGACACCCATGAGCCTGCTCGTGCACACTCGGTAGCTTTGCTTGTGCATGAAAGAAAGAATACAGACCTCTATCTCGGTGATGTATGCCTCTCCCTCCTCCTCCTTCGCCTTCACTGTCTCTTGAAGTTCCACTATTCTCCTGCAGAACAGGTGACACGTGGCAGAGAGGGATGGGCGGAGGTAGATACAAGGGGAAGAGACGGATGGGTGGGGACCCAAGAGTGAGAACTACGAGGGGCAAGAAGAACAACGAGGGGCAAGAAGAACAACGAGGGGAAACTGTCTGGAAAGCTGTAGACTCATACATCGACAGCTACAGCTAGATCTACAGCTGGACGAATTCCAGCAGCTAAATCAAGTCACAGGCACACCCACTCTCCCTCGCCCTCTTGCTGCCGTAGCTGACTGATCTCCGCCCCTGCTGCCACCACCAGCCACTACTGGGCTGGCGCACTGCTACTCACAGCCGCATGGCAGCCAAACCAGATGCGCTCAAGCTACTGCCCCGCTGCTAGCTGCTCCATCAATAATGACACCATGAGCTGAATGCCACATGGAGACCACCTGATAATGATGTGTTTTTGAGACGCTGATAATGATGTGTTTTTGAGACGCTGATAATGATGTGTTTTTGAGACGCTGATAATGATGAGGGTGTTTTTGAGACGTCTCAAAAACGAATTCCACATGGAGACCACCTGATAACAATGTGTTTTTGAGACGTCTAAAAAACGGATTCTGAGCGCATGCCTTTTGAGTCGACTCACATGCCTTGCCAAGCTGGGATCTGGCTACTCGACTGACATTCACACTGCCACAACACACGGACACCCCTCACTTTTCCGTTTCGTCCAGCTGTTGCCGCAGTTGGCTGATCTCCGCCTCTGCTGCCACCAGCCGCTGCTGGCACGCCGCCTCCGCCTCGTTGGCGGCTTTCACCCGCAGCGCCAGCCCGTGCTCGTCAAGCTCCGCGCGCAGCTGCGCCACCTGCGCCAACGCGCGCACCTCCGCCGCCTTCACCTCCTTCATGTCCCTGTGAGGAAGGGGGCGAAAAGGAGCGCGGGTAAGTGGAAGGGAAGGGACTCAAAAGTCAGGGGGGACATGTAGGAATGAATCATGTACTGACCTGGTTTCAGTGGACTCGCGTTCGAACACGGCCATGAATGAACATCTGCAGTTCGCACTCTGAGCTCCATGTGTGAAAGAGTCTCTGTACCTCTCACTCAAACATTAACTTGCCTGGTATCGGTGGATTCGCGTTCGAACATGTCCATGAACATTTGCAACTCGCACTCGGAGCTCTTCAATTGCGCCACCTGCAGCCGCGCACGCCATCACATCACATGCGCGCAAGATGTTAAACCAATGCAGGTTGGCAGACGCGAGTTATGCGGCAGGGACGAAGGGGAGAAGGCGGACGGATGGACGACAGGAAGGAGGGTTGGTGAAGGTGGTATGAAAAGAGGCATGGACGGAGGTCTGGAAGGAGGTACGGAAGGAGGATTGCAAGAGGTACGGAAGGGGGGGTTGAAAGGAAGCATGGAAGGATGAATTAAGGCAATTACGGGCTGACGGCAGCAGAACTGAAGCACACGTGAAGCGTGGCAGGTGACGCATCAGAACAAAATCGATGGGCGGGCGTTGGCTGAATGCCATGTCTTGAACTACAGTGAGTCCACGCATATGCACCACCGCCAGCATCATGCACAGCACAACAGTTGTTTCCGTGACATACCTCTGCCTTCAACGCCTTCTGCTCGGACGCTCGTGACAAAATTCGTTTTCCTAGTTGCTCTATCTCTTTTGCCTGCAAAAACGAACAATCACAAGGAAGACGGCCAAAGGAGGATCATTCATCCAGCCGCGGCTGCAGAATGAGAAAATAGAAGCAGACAAACACGGCCGCCCTTGCACAAAAGGCTTAGAGGCTCACCTTTCTATTAAGAACCGACTTGAGGGACTCGTTATCGGCGCGCAGTGTGACGAGCTGCTGCGAGGCGTCTTTATGTTTGGTGAGCTGCGCCTGCATCATGCTCATCTCCTTGTGCAGCGTCGCTATCATCACCTTGAGCTCCGCCACCGTCTCCTTCCTCCCTGCCACCCTCAACACACCACACCCATCCACACACACAACCAGCACACTTGTCAACCTCATGCATGCCCAGACTAGCTGAATTCAGCGCAATATTCGAGCAAATTGCCAACACTGGACTGGACGCCCTGGCAATCGACCCGTATCCAGAAAACGTGGCGCCACAGGAACGCTCACATATATCCGGCAACCACAATGTGCCACCACGCAACACGTGCTGGAAACAAATCCCCACCACAGCGACCATACCACAGCACTACCCCGCCACAAGCAAAAGCCACATAGCGTACCCAGCGACAAATGCGCCTCTTCCAATCGCTGCTGCAGCACGTCCCGCTCCCTGCACGCGTGCTCCAGCTTCAGCTTCTTCAAGAACTCGCATAACCCCTCAATACTCGCTCATAAGCAGCAAACCCTACCCAGTGACGAGTGCGCGTGCTCCAATCGCTGCTGCAGCACGTCGCGCTCCCTGCACGCGTGCTCCAGCTTCTTCAACAACTCTCAGTATCCCTCAATTATCGCTCACAAGACACACAACGTACCAAGTGACGAATGAGCTTCTTCCAACCGTTGCTGCAGCACGTCGCGCTCCCTGCACGCGTGCTCCAGCTTCTTCAACAACTCTCAGAATCCCTCAATTATCGCTCACAAGACACACAGCCTACCGAGCGACGAATGAGCTTCTTCCAATCGCTGCTGCAGCACGTCGCGCTCCCTGCACGCGTGCTCCAGCTTCTTCTCCAGCTCCTCCACCCTCGCCTCCGCCAGCTGGCACGCCCTCCGCGCAGCGTCGCCCGCCTCCGCGCGGAACGCCATGTCCTTCTCGCGCAGGCTGCTCGCATCCCGCTCTCTCTGCCGACACGGACCCACGGAACAAGCAGAGAGGGACTCGAGTCAGGAGTCGAAGGTACAGGAGCTGCGACTAGCGCTAGCGTGATGGAAAAACTGGTGACTTGTCAAGAATAAATGGGACTCAAGAGTTTGGTCTGCATTGTTATGTTGTGGGAGGCAATGGGAGGTGGAAACTGAAGATGGCGGAAGGAGCGGGGAATGGAGAGCTCACTTGCAGCTGCTCTAGAATTAACCGGTTTCTTTCCGCTTCTGCTCTGGCTGCGATGAGCTGCTCCGCCAGAATCGAGTAGGGCCGTGACGACTTGATGCGCTGCTCGTCTTCTGACGCTGACTGCGCAAACGCAGGGAAGATAGCTTCAGAAAAGGGCTCGTTGCCAGGGACGCTTGAGGGTAGAGCGAGGAACGCTTGAAGGGGCAACGCACAAGAACGGAAGTTGATTGAGCCACGAAACGGAGGGTGAATGTGACAATAATTCCAAACCCTAATCTTGGCATTCTCGCGTTTTTGGTGTGAGGGAACACAAACCTGGTACTCTCGTAGCTTCTGATTCAGTTCCAAAATTGTCTGCTGCTTGTCCTCAATCTCAGTCAAGCGTTGAGCGGAAAGCTTCTGCAAATCAAGAATACATGCGAAATCTAATATTAACATGCAGAACTCCGTCCCAAAAACATCCGTGCCGTACCTACAATAGTCATGCACACCATACAAAAGAATTTACGTTTCTCACCTTCGCTTCCTCAAGTGCGGCTTCAAGCTCACGGGCCCCCCCAGACGCGTTCCTGCTGTCCTGCCCCCCGTCTCTCGAATCCGACTTCACAAGCGACTTCGACGCGGGAAACGCGCCCGGCCCAGACGACGAAGCTGACTGCTTCGCCGCGACGAGTTTCCGCCTCGTTGATTCCAGCTGCATGAGGGTATCCTCTAGATGATCTGTAACGGAAATGCCAGATGCGGGTCCCACGGAGATGACGGAATGCGCTTTGGGGGATGACGGAATACGCTAAAAAAAATGGCAGCATTCGCTTCGTTAATTTCAGCTGCATGAGGGTGTCCTCGAGATGATCTGTAACGGAAAAGCCAGATGCGCGTTCCATGGAGATGACGGAACGCGCTAGGGAGGATGACGGAATGCGCTAGGTAGGATGACGGAATGCGCTAGGTAGGATGACGGAATGCGCTAGGTAGAATGACGGAATGCGCTGGGAAATGGCAGAATTCGCGCGTCCGACGCCAATGCAGCAACCCTTTACGAAGCTTACCTAGTTGTTGACCCTAACCTTGACAAAGCTTATTCAGTAACTAGTCCACCCCTTCACAAAGCTTACCTAGTGGTTAATCCTGACCTTAACGAAACTTCACAAGTGAATTCTCTCACCTGAAACTCTCCGAACTTCGGCTTGGCTCTTGGCGTTCAAGTCCCGAATTTCCGAGAGCTCCAACGACAGGCTTCTGTGCTGCAGATGCATCTCGTCCATCTTGGCTCGCATGTGCGACACCTCCGATCTGAAATCCTCGTGCGTCGATCTTAAGAGCTCTGCAGCTTCTGCCTCGAGCAAAACGGGGGATAGAAAATGAAAAAAATGTCTGGAAAAAATCCATCAAAGCCCGAATCTTGAACGGACGAGGGAAGGATGAACAGCTGAATAATAAGAAAATTACGTACCGTCTGAACTTAGACTTTTTTTCAAGGAAACTGCCAATTCCTCGTTTCGTAGTCTTTGTTGATCGACGGCTTGCACTATGCACTTGAGGACCTTATACGTTTGCGAGCTCCGAGCTTGTAACGCGGAATGAAGCTTCTTCCTCGCATTGCCTTGGTCCTCGACCTTCGGACTCGCTTGCAACAGCTTCCGAAGGAAAATGCTTTCTGAAGGACCATCTGAATCCCCTCTATCTGACAAAAGAGGAAGAAAACCGGCAACCAGAATTAGGGTAAAATTGAGGAAGCATAGATCTGAAGGTAAATCACACAAAACTCAAGATATTTGACGAGTTACCTTCAAGGGGAGTGGCGTTAGACGTCTGCTGAAGACCGTTGAGCCCAGCATTCGCCTTAACTGCCAGAATCTCCAGATCGTCAACCAGCTGTTAAAAAAGCGAACAAAAGACCGTCAGAAATCCACCTTGCTACCTCAAGATCTGCAACCCAGACGCTCCCAGTCAAGACGTGGACTTGGAAAGCCGAACCTGGTTCCACGCGCTGTTGACTGTCATGAGTGTATCGTCGTAGTCTGACTGCCGTGCCTTGAGATCCTCGAACCGCGACTCCAATTCATGGATTCGCTCCTTCTGGACCTCCAGCTGCTGACTCAGCTTCTGGTTCTGAAACTGAAGAACTGATGGGTCGATCTGGCCATAGGAGACGGAAAGAGTGACTAAGTTGACTGATTCCGTCTAGTAGTTACACGGAGGTTGAACTCGAAAAAAAATAAATTATAATTTCAAAACCTAGTGAAGGCACACCTTCTTCTCGTCACCGAGGCACGATAGCGATGGTCTCTTAGCAGGAGGCGACATAATGCTTCCCGCTGCTGATGGCCGCTTCTTTCGCTCTGACTCGTCATTGCTTCCCATTTCCCCCTTTTTTCGGCAAGGGGCATTTCCCGCTGGGGACTTCAGCGCTGCCGGTTTCACGAAATCCAAGTCGACCAGATTATCACAGCTCCGCATGAGCTCACGGTCACACCACTACGGCCTTCGCAGCTCCTAACCAAGAACCCGCAGGAGGAACAACAAGGAACAACAAACCCTAGCCACAGCGGCGAACAGGAAACAAGAAACAAGGAAGGTCCTAGTGAAAATGAGGACGATTGTTGTGAAAGATGAAGGGAAGCGAAACCCTAGTTTTGATGCGGCACCACACAAGCGGTATGGAGGGAGAGGAGGGGGAGGGAATGATGGTTCACGGATCTGCCTCGGGCGAAACTTTTGCCTCAGGGCGCGTCCCCCCCCTCGATCGATCGCCAGATCGCCTAGAAAACCGATCGGGCACACCAATCGCAGATTTGGGCACGGTTGGTAGGAGGTGTCAATTGCGGGATGGATTTCGAGCCCAAGGTGACAGGATCGAGATTACAGGGGGGAAAAACTCTCGATCCTATATAAGTCAAGATCGGCGTGGCCACGAAGGCACATCGATCGTCATCAACGAAGGCACCAGCTACTGTACATTCGCGAGCCGTCTCGTAATTTGGTTACCTTGCTGATTGCGACGCAGCAGTTCAACTGGCCCTCGATCGATCGAGGGCAGGATCGATCGAGGGAGAAGACCCGCCCTCAAGCGTACAGGTTACCGTTCGTGATTGAGAGGTGGCCTAGGGCTGCCGAATTTGCGAACAGGTAATTTTGCAGTTTTAAACCTGTAAGAATTTGTCTTGACACCAAACCAGACATACTAGGCAGATGGGACAAATTGGTAAAAAACGCATTGCACTGCCAGGAATACTATTCGGACCACTCTATGCTTTAACGCGTTGTATCACATTACTCATTAGCAACATTAATCGCCATTGTTCCCCGTCCTCCTGGAACGTTGCCAGCGGTGACACAAGGTGCAAAACCAATCAGCCATTCATCTTGTACCAATCATCATCTAGGCTTTACGACTTGTCACTTCTGCTGGTAACCTCTTTCCCTCACTCTCCTCCCCCTCTTCCTCCTCGTCCTCATCCTCATCCTCCCAATCCTCCTCGTCATCCTCATCCTCATCCTCCTCATCATCCTCCTCATCCGACTCATCCTCACCACTCCCAACCGCATTGTACATCACCGGAGCGGGGTAATCCTTCTTCTCCGCCTTATCCTGCTTCGTCACAAGGTGCCGAATCACCCTCTCGTCCTGCAACAGCACCTTCTCAATCGCTGCAATCTTATCCGCGGGAACTTCAACATTCATGAGGATATACTGCGCCTGCCATGTCTTCTGAATGCGGTATGCCAGCCGCCTCATGCCCCAGTCGTTCACTCTCCACACCGTGCCCCGCGCGTCCTTCACCATCTCTGTGCGTGGAGGGGGGGGAGGGGGGAGGAGGGAGGTGAAGAGGGAGGAGGGGGAGGAAAAGGGAGGGAAAGTGGAGGGGAAGGAGAGGGGATGGGATGTTTGGGACACCAGTGGGAAGGGGAACCTCAATGTTCATGAGAATGTACTGCGCCTGCCGGTATGCCAGCCGCCTCATGCCCCAGTCATTCACTCTCCACACCGTGCCCCGCGCGTCCTTCACCATCTCTGTGCGTGGAGGGGGGGGAGGGGAAGGATTGACAGACAATTGTGATATTATCATACATGGAGTGACAGCCGCTACAATCACACATGGAATAACGGTCGTTATAATAACAGTCATAGGCATCCATCACCCACCCATCGCCCACCTGTGATCTTCTCTATGATGGCAGGAGTCTCATCCGTGCGCCCCTCGTGCACCAAGAATATCATCTCGTAGTGGCCTGGTGAGGAAAGCAGGGGCGGAAGGGGATGACAGGCAGAAGAGGTGAAGGGATGGCGACAACAATGAGTCTCATCCGTGCGCCCCTCGTGCACCAGGAATATCATCTCGTAGTGGCCTGGGGGAGGGGGAAGGGCGGAAAGGAGTGTGACAACAGTAAGTATCGTCAATGCTTCCCCCATGCACCAGAAACACCATCTCATAGTGGCCTGGTGATGGTGGGGTGGGGGAGGTGCAGGGGAGTGGAGGAGAACGGGGAGGAGGGGAGGATTGAAGGGGTGATGTGATGAGTATCGTCCGTGCGCCCCTCGTGCACCAGAAACACCATCTCATAGTGGCCTGGTGATGGTGGGGGGTGGCGTGGGGGGTTGGGGAAGAACGGGGAGGAGAGGAGAGCGGAAGGGATGAATGAGTTTCATCTGTGCACCCTTCGCGCACCAGGAGGAGGAGGAGGAGGAGGAGGAGGAGGAGGAGGAGGAGGAGGAGGAGGAGGAGGAGGAGGAGGAGGAGGAGGAGGAGGAGGAGGAGGAGGAGGAGGAGGAGGAGGAGGAGGAGGAGGAGGAGGAGGAGGAGGAGGAGGAGGAGGAGGAGGAGGAGGAGGAGGGAGAGGAGGAGGAGGAGGAGGAGGAGGAGGAGGAGGCGGAGGAGGAGGAGGAGGAGGAGGAGGAGGAGGAGGAGGAGGAGGAGGAGGAGGAGGAGGAGGAGGAGGAGGAGGAGGGAGAGGAGGAGGAGGAGGAGGAGGAGGAGGAGGAGGAGGAGGAGGAGGAGGAGGAGGAGGAGGAGGAGGAGGGAGAGGAGGAGGAGGAGGAGGAGGAGGAGGAGGAGGAGGAGGAGGAGGAGGAGGAGGAGGAGGAGGAGGAGGAGGAGGAGGAGGAGGAGGAGGAGGAGGAGGAGGAGGAGGAGGAGGAGGAGGAGGAGGAGGAGGAGGAGGAGGAGGAGGAGGAGGAGGAGGAGGAGGAGGAGGAGGAGGAGGAGGAGGAGGAGGAGGAGGAGGAGGAGGAGGAGGAGGAGGAGGAGGAGGAGGAGGAGGAGGAGGAGGAGGAGGAGGAGGAGGAGGAGGAGGAGGAGGAGGAGGAGGAGGAGGAGGGAGAGGAGGAGGAGGAGGAGGAGGAGGAGGAGGAGGAGGAGGAGGAGGAGGAGGAGGAGGAGGAGGGAGGAGGAGGAGGAGGAGGAGGAGGAGGAGGAGGAGGAGGAGGAGGAGGAGGAGGAGGAGGAGGAGGAGGAGGAGGAGGAGGAGGAGGAGGAGGAGGAGGAGGAGGAGGAGGAGGAGGAGGAGGAGGAGGAGGAGGAGGAGGAGGAGGAGGGGAGGAGGAGGAGGAGGAGGAGGAGGAGGAGGAGGAGGAGGAGGAGGAGGAGGAGGAGGAGGAGGAGGAGGAGGAGGAGGAGGAGGAGGAGGAGGAGGAGGAGGAGGAGGAGGAGGAGGAGGAGGAGGAGGAGGAGGAGGAGGAGGAGGGAGGAGGAGGAGGAGGAGGAGGAGGAGGAGGAGGAGGAGGAGGAGGAGGAGGAGGAGGAGGAGGAGGAGGAGGAGGAGGAGGAGGAGGAGGAAGAGGAGGAGGGGTAGGAAGAGGAGGGGTAGGAGGAGGAGGGAGCGGTGGGGAGGGAGTGGGGGGTTGGGGGGCGCTGGCGGCATTGGGAGTGGTCATACACGCTCCCTACTTTGTCATGAGATACGGTCTAATGTGTGACACCGAGTCTTTAGAGCAGCAAAATGGGGCCATCAGCGAGGTTCAGCAATGAGCAAAGTGCAGATATCAGTAAGGTTCGGCAACTAGCCTTGAAACCTGGGCAGCATAATACACTGTGCAACCAACGGTCCGGAGCACCAACGGAGCAAGGAGAGGGACAATTGAACGTTTACAAGGTCTACAGGGTACGAAAACGTACACCATGCACATGCACATGCATGTAAACAAAACGAAGCGGATTATGCTGCTAAAAACAACAAAGGAAATCGGAGGAAGAGCAAAGAGCAAGTTATGGAAACTGCAATGCTCACGTGGAGGTACGTCGAACGCGCTCTGAAGCTCGAGGTCCAGGATGGTATCGAGTTGGTCTGTATTGTGTACGAAAAAACAGAACAGAGTGGAAGATAACACTGCAGAATTATGTATACGTGCATAGGACAGTGCTTGAGGGAAGGCTTATAAACGATATAACACAGGATGGGAGATAGACGAAGAGATAAAGAAGGCTTATAAATGCTGGAATGGTATCTAATTAAAAGGGTGTCACGACTCACGACTCACTCACACGTGCACCTTCCACACGTGCACCTTCCACACGTGCACGAGGGACCCATGCTACTTGACGCCTCATGTATGCGTCTGAATGAAGCACCAAATGTAACCATTCTCAAACCATAGGCACCTGACTAAAACCGTTCTGCTTCTCAGCCCCCTCACGGCAAGGAGCAGTGGGCTCGGGACAGGGAAACGGGGAAGCCAACCCTCTATTCACTCTATACGTCTCTCACTCCCCATCTCACCTTCTCCCCATCTCACCTCTCCCCATCTCACCTTCTCCCCATCTCACCTCTCCCCATCTCACCTTCTCCCCATCTCACCTCTCCCCATCTCACCTCTCCCCATCTCACCTCTCCCCATCTCACCTCTCCCCATCTCACCTTCTCCCCATCTCACCTCTCCCCATCTCACCTTCTCCCCATCTCACCTCTCCCCATCTCACCTTCTCCCCATCTCACCTCTCCCCATCTCACCTTCTCCCCATCTCACCTTCTCCCCATCTCACCTTCTCCCCATCTCACCTTCTCCCCATCTCACCTTCTCCCCATCTCACCTTCTCCCCATCTCACCTTCTCCCCATCTCACCTTCTCCCCATCTCACCTTTTCCGATTTCCCCTTCTCATCTTCTCACCTTCTCCATTTTTCCCCTTATCTGAGAAAAAATCCCCCTTATTTCCTGGGACCCTGGCTCCCGCGAATCCCTTTGCCTTCAGAACCCCGTTCCAATGCTCCAAAGAATGGCTCCCCGATAAGTGTTTTTAGTACGTCTGTTGACGCGCTTTCAGCGACGCCTTTTCCATGAATATGACTTTTGAGCCGGACTCAAGCTCAAATTCCCCTTGCTTCTCTCACCAGTATCCTCGGGCGATTGTTGGTACGTCTGCTGCCGCGCTTTCAGCGACGCCTTTTTCATCGATAACGCCGGCACTGGCGCCGCATCTGGCGTGTCGCCATCTCCGCCATTTGCGGCGTCGTCCGCGGCAGCCCTAGCAGAAACCGCGCGACAAAACCGCCCTCGTAACTGCGTCGCAGACGTCGCGGGCGTCGCAGGCGTCGCGGGCGTCGCAGGGCAAGCGGCGACAGATAGCCGCGCGTTGCGGGGAAGCACGGATCCGAGACTGCAGAAGCAGCTGCCATGCGCTATCGGTTGACGCGCCGTACTAAAGGAGACGCTTGTAGCGAGTACGGTGTGCTCCAAAGCACGAACGGCAGTCATGATCGCAAGGTACAAGAGAAAGGGCACGCGCCGTACGGTCGGTGGGAGATCAGGGGCAGAAAGTGCAATCACAATGAAACCGGTTCGATGATGTGCCTCCGCTAATCTCGCCAGGAAACAAATAGCGCAGCGAGTGTATTTATGCGGAGTTGAGGGACGTGGAGGCCAGGAAGGGGACAGGGCTGAAGGGTAAGGGTGAATCCCTCGGCACGCGCTGTTTCGTTACAACGGCGGGTTCCCTGAAACTTTGCAATGTCCTAGCCTTTTGGGGCTTTTGGTAGACAATTACTTTCTACCACTAAACAAGACCTAACCAGATTTTATAGCGTGAGATTCAGCCTCATCGGCAAAATCATCATTTCAGAAAACCTAAATCTCTAATTTTGTTTATTGGTCTGTTCCTTCTAATTTATCTTTGAAGTAGTTAAACATGTTTGCTTACAAGGATGAAATACGTTTGTGTATTTGCAATTCTTATTTCTCACAATTCAACAAAGCGCATCGAGTTCGCCAACGACGAAACGCCACCCTTATGCTCACGGCGGCGAACCGCCCTGTTTGCCGCTCAAACTTGTCACCCTTTCGGCCGCCATAGCTGCTCCTGATTACAAGTAGTAGCCAAGCCACCAAAACAGCGCCTCGTTCACCCGCAGGTCAGGAAGAGCCTTCAGAACGTGTGGCTGGAAGCGCTTTTCTGAACCTTTCTGGGACGCTGCCGCTGCGCCTCGTCCACTTTTACCCTGGCGATATGGAGAGATACCTTTGCCGCATTTCTCTTCACCTTGAGGCACGACTAGAGTCACTTGTATTAGTGTCTTGGTACCGCAATTGTACTCGTGAGATTTCGCAACAGCTTGTAGCAGCTTCATGTCCGAGTCCATATGTTCCGTCACCTTCCTGACCGACTAGATTAACGCCTCCATCGTCACTCCATGGTTTTTTTAGGTTTACTCATGTAGGCATTCACCGCTCACAATACTGTTTTCTGTATAAGGCGGGCCTCTGTACAGGGCTAGTATTGTTCAATCCGAAATAACTCAGTTAAGACGGGACAGCGCCATTACAGCTGATCTGCATGAGACTGCGAATCAGTGAGTTACACCGAATTAGCGAACGCGCGTTTTTTCTGATCTTCATGATTCGCGTCGTACCATTGACTCATGTGTGTTGCACGCATCACACGTTCTCTTAACGTGGCAGGTAGGGTATGGAAGCAGATCGTGCGCAAGCTGGGTCGCTGGAAGCGACACGCCAAGAGCATGACGAGCAGCTGCCGGGCTCCCAAAGTCACCGACGGCTTCTCCGACTTGGTCGTCAACGGCGTCGCCAACCTTCCGCCGTCAAAGGCTCGCAGCGCTGATAATCTCGGCCGTCATCTCTCCAGGTCAGGAGCGAGCTTCTCACCTTTCTAATTTCGCGGCCATGGTGGCCCACATCAGCTTAGAAAGGCTTAGCAACGTAAGGCGGAGCGATCGGAAGGCCGTGATTTGTTTTTTTTTTTTTTCGTTTACCGACGACGTGATAATTAAGTCTTGTCTCGCGATAAACGCAGATCCGGAACACCTGATGGTCGGACGCTACGCGCGCTGGCATGTCAGCCGGAAAAGGGCGGCCGGCTTCACATCGAGGGCGATGGCGAGGGGGAGGGGGAAATGGACGAGGAGTGGATGCAGGAGATGCTTCGCCTAGCTGGCGATCAATCTAAGGTAACTCCGCTGACCTGCCTTATCAGAATTCATTCTCAACTCTTTCTCGACTTTCCTGTCTTCCTTATCATGAAACTTCCTTATCACGAGGTTCAAGTACTAATTCTGGGTTTGCTATTTTCCAGGTGCGCTGGAAAGACGGCGGGACGATTCAGCGCTACGGGAGTGCAGTAGACATGCGGCAGATAGATGGTGACTGTAACGAAGCCTACTCAGCGAAACAGAGGACTGGAACCGTGGTGCCCTTGGGAAACCATAACGGAACGCCCTGGCAGAGAGACACCTCCACTCGGCAACACCAAGGGTCAACAACCACCCTTGCCTCCAAGCAAAGAAACGGAACCGCAGATGGTGGTGGCTCGGTTGTGGGAGGGAACAGCACAGGGAGGCTCGGTTATCATCGACCTTGTCGCTCTGGCTCAGTGCCTGCAGCCATGGATGTGATGAGTGTCCCGCTCAGGCCACCACCAGGCAGAAGACGACCCACTGCTCCCAAATGACACCCTAAACCTTGGCAACCGATTATTAACTCTATCACATGATATCAAACGTATTAATTTGTTTTAGACGTGTATACATCCAACATATTTGTGGAGGGGAGAGAGTGCCTTGTGAATAGCAAATGTGGGATGAGCTTCATATTTGAGATGCAATTCAGTATGTGTCATTTACATTCACACAGAATCGAATGAGCTGTCCAAAACGTGTACAACACCTCCCGTTCTTGTTCGTGCGTAAAAAAATTCTTGGATATTTGGTCAAGGAAGGATTCCTCTCATCCACGGCGCTGCTTGTCCACGCTGTTTCACAGCCAGAGGTGGCGTGACGACTGACATTCCTCCTTGTGTGAACTGCAGTGCGCACCGTGTGGTTATGAACAGTGGGTTTCACGCTGTCGCCAACTGGCAATTTGTCGTGTTTGTGGGGTTCCCCGCCGCGTTTGGGTTTAGTTTGACACCAGAAATGTCATGGCGAAGCTATGATGACAAGCTGCGATGTGACAGAGAGATGCAGTATGGTTCCTTTTAATACTGTATCTGCAAGTTTTAACAGGCTTTATCTTCGGTATTTGTTCTCGTTTTCTTTTGACTCTGTACCTTCAATTACTTCTAAGGAACCGCGACACCCTGCAGTCAACATTCTGATGGTAGAGACGATACCAAACCTGCCTCAATCCCCTCAACCCGTCCTAGCCGAACCGAACCTAACGGTACCGTTATGCTTTTGTTCCGCAGATTTTATCGTTCTAGTGGCGTTTCTTGTCAGCGCCAGCTGGTCACAAACAAGTCACGAAGGCCTAGCACCCACGGCATCCCATGCCGCATGATGGCTTTTTCCACAGGCGCGATGTGTTCCTTGCTCAAGGTTCCTTCCTTTTCAAGGTTGGCTGGGCTCCCCCTCACCACCACCTCGCACAGGCAGTCGTCTCTATAAGAGCCCATCATCATAAACTCTTCCGCCAATCACCGCAACCCAAACACCAACAAACCATCATTTACAGGCTCCAGCACATCACGCGGCGCACACGCAGGAAAGGGACATGTTGACTTGTCTGTTCTCAATCAGGCCGACGACTTTCTTTCTTTCCCTTTCTCTTCCACACGTTCGACAACTGGCTTGCCAGGCTTGATGGAAAAACTGTCCGCTTCCACGTCTCGTCTCGTCTCGTCTCGAGCCCTCGACCCGCGAACGCGTTCGGCTTCAGGGCAGCCATCGTCTGCCGACCCGACCGCCCTTGCAGCGGCTCCACGGCGAATATCCGTCATCATAGACGGAACCAACCACCTCGAAAGAACCAATGGCCTGTTCCGCTAGTCGCACGCGCCCTCAGGCTTTAGCCCATGGTGCAAAGGTCCAATTTTCAAACCTAGCGGAGGTCAGCGCTGTTAGCAGTCCCCCACCGAAGTTATGCGGACAAGCCTACTCTTTCTCGTGTTTGACCTTCGGGTATGCACGCCAACTTCTTCCGTCCACCACATGTAAAAGGCGGTCCCTCAGACATTCGAATTATCTTTCTGCATTTCAACAGAAACAGCCCGATTAGGCGGTTGCGTGATTGTCTCGTTCAAAGCTAGTTACTGATATTTGTGCGACACCTTCGAGACTGAGGTTATACCTTCTCCGAGAAAAAAATACCGTTGCAACTCATGGGATCGTTGCTCGTACGCTTGCCAAGCGAGCTTCCAACAGCCCCCTCCTCAGATGCTTCCGTTGCTGCTGGTGTATCCCCTTTAATTCTCCCAATGGAGCAAGACGCCGCGCCAACTCTCCGCAAATCGCGGCGGAGCAACACCGTAACGTCGGTACCGCAATTCGAGGTGCTCCCCTGCCAGACAGACGAGGTGCTTCGCGGCGGCTCTGGCGCAGTCCGTGACGGCGACGCTTCAGATCGTGCGACCTCGGAGGACGTGGCGGTCTGTCATCGCTTTTCAAACATCGACCTTCGCCTGGAAATGTGGAACCTCGCTACTGGAAGCTCCGCTACGAAGTACCAGCGAAGCTCCCCTCTCGGCGCGCGCCCGTCGCGCTCGCGGAGCTCTCCGATCATCGCGACGCCGGAGGAAGCAGCTTCATCCCTTGTGGTACCCGAGAATGACACGAGTATTTCTCATGTTGGATTTTCCGCCGCTGCTGAAACGCCTGGCGATGCTCTTGCGTCGGCTGCATCGGCGGCGGTCGCTGCTCCGAGCAGCTGTCACGCCCGACCGGCGCAGCTAGAAGTGGCGCGTATTGAGTCACACGCACTATCGCCAACCGCACGGGGGACATTGGAGACGCAGGACTCGCGAGGGGGCGTTCCTGAAAGAATTGCGCCGAGATCAGGAAGGAGCCTGTCTCGCTGGCAGAGCGTTCCTTCCCTAACCCTAATTTATTCCGTGCCACGACATGCGTCGCCGCGGTGGCCAGTACAATCGGACGCATCCCAGAGTGGGACCGTCAGCGAGTCGGTCGAGACTGTCTCCCCTGCGGCTGTCTCCTCGCACGGGCGACGTTTTCAAACATCGCATGGCGTCGCGGATCCAGTTCGTGTTGGAACGCCGCCAACACCCCGGCCAATATCGGCTGTGATTCGCGACGCGAAGCTATCTAGAGCTGCTTCGTCTGAGCCTACGAGTAACGTTTTCGAGTGGGCCGCTCAGCAGCGCATCGCGCGTCACAGATCCGCTTTGCAGTAACTGTATTATAATCGTAGACCATGGTGCGATTTAGGAGGCAAGAACCGCGGAGCTCGTGGTTTAGGCCAACACTGAATAATACACTTACATTATATGTAATGAAACACCCTTTTTATGATTAACTTTTTTCGTTAACGATGGATGTTCAGGCTGGTGAGTAGCGGTTCTGAGTGGTGAAGCGAGAAGACCACTCTGGACTGTACAAAATTGAACTCAACTGCTCGAACTCTATAAACGAACAATTCGAGCAAGGGGACCACTCTCGACTGTACAAAATCGAGCAAGGAGTGACACTTTGGGTGGGACCCGCCTCCAGTGAGAGGATGCTTCGCAAATCCATTGTGGTTCCGTACCGTATACTACCGAAGCATCACCTCACCGCCACAAAGTCGACGTGGTTTTTACCTCCTAGCCTTTGGGCACGTGGAGGTCAGCAGTCTGACATGGCAAGCTTGTACTCGCTGCATTCCAGCAAAGGATGCTTCCAGCGGCGAGGTCGGCGTGTGCTCCTGGTGTATGTCCCATCCGTTTCGCAGAGCTGCTTGACGAACCCAGCAATCTTCGTCGCAGTCACCTAGGGATCGCCATTCGGCGCGCGAATATCGCTTGCATCAGGGAATGTTCGCGAACACCTCTCTGCGATTAAAAAGCGACGCTGTGCGATGGATCATAGTCGCTGCTACATCATTTCCCAGAGATTCCACTTCGCCGACTTGTTCACTTTTTGACAAACATCAGCTTCTGTTGTCTAGGAAATCTCTGAAATTTAGGATAGAGATAGCGTTAGGACACTGGTCTGAGCCTCTAGCATTGTCACTTCGCTTTCCCTAATGACGTCAAGACGTTTTGGGAACGGATTACTACGGCAAAAAGAAATATGCTGTTCTCATGTAGTCATGCGCGTGTATTTGCAAAAGTCCACTTTCGCTGACGAATCCGAGGCTAGGTGCAAGCTGACACAGCCGGACGCGAGTAGCAAGTAGTAGCCCACTCCTCCATGCGCGTAGTGGTAGCTGTTTCTCTGACTACGCTAAGTTGATACCACCCGTTTCTTATCTTCCTGGCACGGCTTTACGGGGTCGATATTTGAGAGGTAACCGTTCGTGCGTGTGAGCGAGTCGCGTTGGTCTAGTTGCATGAACCGAGCCTAGCGCCATGAACCGCGTGAAGCGATCCTGGCGCCTAAATCCGAGCCTCGCGGGTTAAACCGAGCCTAGAGGCAGAAACCGAGCCTATCAGGAATAATCCGAGCCTAGCGCCATGAACTCCGTAGCCTCAGAAGTCCTTCGCCGGATGACAGACGGAGGTGCTGTTCCCATGATCGACGGCCGACAAGGCCTCACCGACGGTCGGCCAGCACTGATCGACGGCCATCCTGCGCTGATCAACGGCCACGAGCCAACGATCGGTTTCCATCGGGATTGGCGGGCAGGCGGTGCTGCAGGAGGAGGGGGGGATGTGCTAGGAGGAGTTTTGAAGCAGTCTCTGCGATGGCTGGCTTTGTTAGGTTCGGGAATGCGGCGTTTTGTTGAGGGGTGTATCCCCGCTATAGCCGCAACTGGAACGGGTTGTATACCCGATATAGGGCGAAAGAGAAAATGCATATCAGACTCGTTAAAGGTGGCCAACTGGGTGATGGCGGGAATCGACGGCGTCATCTGGATCATCGCGCTTGTTCAGGTGAGTCACGTGTCATCTGAACCGTTCAATCATGCACTGTTCAGGTGAGTCATGCGTCATCTGGACCGTCCAATGATGCAATGTTCAGGTGGATGTGTGTCATCTGGTCTGAACCACTGATAGAAGCACTCTTCAAGTGAAATATGCGACAGCTGGACAACTCAGTGATGCACTCTTCAGGTGAAATATGCGGCATCTGGACCGTCCACTGATGCACATGCGGCATCTGGACCGTCCACTGATGCACTGTTCAGGCTGGACCGTTCAGTGATGCGTCGTGCGGATGAGGTTTGCAATAAGGCAGGTGATGAGATGGATGCTGCACGCATGGAGTAGGGTGAGAAAGTTCAGGTGAATCATGCCAATGATACACTAATCAGGTAAGAAAAGGGATCTGTATGAGCGAGGAACACGGAAAATCATGCAGTGAGGCATGCAGTGAGGCATGCAGTGAGGCATGCAGTGAGACATGCAGTGAGACATGCAGTGAGACATGCATTGTACTATGCATTATGCACCCACACTTCAGCCCCTGATGATTTATCGTATATATCACGGAGACACTCAGTGCATATGACTCATGCTCTCACACCCATTCCCTAACCCCCCCATGCTCGCCTGCAGCTAATTCGCATCTGCCGCCATGTGCAGAATGGCAAGTGGACCCGTCAAAAGGTAAGTACTGGTTGGGGGGATTCAGCATCGCTTTCCCATCCCATGACTCCCCCATCCGTGACTCCTGTTGAGACGTCTCAAAAGTCATTCGCATCTGCCGCCATTTGCAGAATGGCAAGTGGACCCGTCAAAAGGTAAGTACTGGTGGGGGGGATTCAGCATCTCTTTCCCATCCCATGACTCCCCCATCCGTGACTCCTGTTGAGACGTCTCAAAAGTCATTCGTATCTGCCGCCATGTGCAGAATGGCAAGTGGACCCGTCAAAAGGTAAGTACTGGTTGGGGGGTCTTAGGAGCATCTTTTTTCCACCCCATGCCTCCTCCACCCCATGCCTCCCCCACCCCATGCCTCCCCCACCCCATGCCTCCCCCACCCCATGCCTCCCCCACCCCATGCCTCCCCCACCCCATGCCTCCCCCGCCCCATGCCTCCCCCACCCCATGCCTCCCCCATCCCATGCCTCCCCCACCCCATGCCTCCCCCATCTTATGAATCCCATCCACGAACATCCCATCCCACCCGCACCACCAAAAGTGCAGCGAGCTCACTCCTTCCTCGCATCTTGCTCGCAACAGCAGTTTCAGCACGTGTGTGTGTGGTGCATCTATCCCATCCCATGTGCCTTCACTCACTCATCTCGCCACCTCCTCCCCTTCCTCTCACATGCTTCGGGCACATCCACATCCCAGTGTCATGGCTATGTGGCGCATCTTTTTTTTTTTTTTTTTTTTTTTTTTGTAATTTCTTTAAAAACAGATTTAACATACTCTTCCACTCACATGCTTTGTGCACATCCACATCCCAGTGTCATGGCTGTGTGGCGCATCAATTCCATCCCATCCCATCCCATCCCATCCCATCCCATCCCATCCCATCCCATCCCATCCCATCCCATCCCATCCCATCCCATCCCATGCCATGCCATGCCCTCACCATGGCATCACCTCCACTGCCTCTCACATGCCTTGTGCAAATCGCCTTGTCATTGCCGTGTCACCCTCCCACAGGTCTTCCATACCATGGTCTTTGCAGCCAACCTCGGTGAGTATGGAGACGAATTTTCAAGCCTGTTTCACACAGGGCACACACACACACACGCATCACACTTTTGAGAATTCTCAAAAGTGGTTCAGGGCACACACACACACACGCATCACACTTTTGAGAATTCTCAAAAGTGGTTCAGGGCACACACACACACACGCATCACACTTTTGAGAATTCTCAAAAGTGGTTCAGGGCACACACACACACACGCATCACACTTTTGAGAATTCTCAAAAGTGGTTCAGGGCACACACACACACACGCATCACACTTTTGAGAATTCTCAAAAGTGGTTCAGGGCACACACACACACACACATCACATGTGCCCACGTCTTCCCTCGTGCCCAAGGCTCGTTCTGAAGGGCACACACACACACACACATCACAATCAGAATCCATCAAAGCTCATTTCCTGAGTCGCCTCTACCTACCATCTGTAACTCTCCTCTCCTCACATGCGGACTTTCTCTTCTGTGAACGTGACCCATCCACCACCTCTCCCTCCCGCTCACAGGCTACTGCATCTATTTCGTTGTCAACCCCTTCGCCTCCTGCTCCCAATGGCTCTGCTGGTCCCACGCCTGCAGCTTCATTGCTCTCGGTGCGTCCCTGCTGTCCTCTTGCGGCTGCCCTGCTGTCCTCTTGCGGCTGCCCTGCTGTCCTCTTTCGCGCCGCCCTGCCATGCGTATGCGCCTCATACGAATGCTCCCCTCCCCATGCGTATGCCTCCTGCTCCCAATGGCTCTGCTGGTCCCACGCCTGCAGCTTCATTGCTCTCGGTGCGTCCCTGCTGTCCTCTTGCGGCTGCCCTGCTGTCCTCTTGCGGCTGCCCTGCTGTCCTCTTTCGCGCCGCCCTGCCATGCGTATGCGCCTCATACGAATGCTCCCCTCCCCATGCGTATGCCTCCTGCTCCCAATGGCTCTGCTGGTCCCACGCCTGCAGCTTCATTGCTCTCGGTGCGTCCCTGCTGTCCTCTTGCGGCTGCCCTGCTGTCCTCTTGCGGCTGCCCTGCTGTCCTCTTTCGCGCCGCCCTGCCATGCGTATGCGCCTCATACGAATGCTCCCCTCCCCATGCGTATGCCTCCTGCTCCCAATGGCTCTGCTGGTCCCACGCCTGCAGCTTCATTGCTCTGGGTGCGTCCCTGCTCTTGTATTTCGTGCTGCAATGCTCCTCCTCCTCCTTGGGATTGCAGTGCTCGGCTGAGCACTGAGGCCCAAGTTGCGAATATTTTATGTGTGTATGCATGCTCCCTATGTGCATGCTCCCCATGTGCATGCTCCCCGTGTTTGTATGACCGTGTGTATGAAACCCATCTTTTCGTTCCCCCGTGTGTTGGAATGTTTGTAATGTGCTTAAAGTATTTCAATGTGTGACACGGCATGCTTGCCTCTGTGCTGCATTGTTGCCTGTGTGCTCCTTGTGCTCCTTGTGCTCCCCGCATGGCAGCCATACCGCAGATCATCTTCCTTGCAACCTTCCTGCTGCTCCTCTCCTTCTGGTACGACTGCCACAGCATGGCATAGTGCTTCATGGCATGGCATGAATGAATCATGAGGTAGCATGGCATGCATGAGCTGGCATGGCTTGAATCATGAAGTGGCATGGTATGAACCATGAGCTGGCATGGCTTGAATCATGAGGTGGCATGGTATGAACCATGAGCTGGCATGGCTTGAATCATGATGTGGCATGGTATGAACCATGAGCTGGCATGGCTTGAATCATGAAGTGGCATGGTATGAACCATGAGCTGGAATGGCTTGAATCATGAGCTGGCATGGCATGAATCATGATGTGGCATGTCAGTCTCAGCAATGTGTGGCTAAACACGTTCTCTCACTGCATGCTTCCACCACCACCACTTTCGTTGCTGCACACTCCCATCACCGCCACCAGGATCGACCTGTGCCACCAGGCATCAGACAGCACAGATGAGGACGAGGAGGAGGATGAGGAGGAGGAAGAGGATTTGGAAGCAGCAGCAGGGAGCAGCAGAGCTGCCGCTGCTGCTGCAGGCAGGGGAGGTCTGGGTGTAGGCAATGGTGCTTATGCGTTTAATGGTATGGGCATGGGAGTGGGAGTGGGAGTGGGCACGGGTAGGAGCGGCTTGGTGAGGCATAAGTCAAGTCCCATCCCACCCATGCCGCCCGCAGCAGGGCAGCACAGCAGCTCGACTTACTCGCAGCAGGACCCCCGACAGCAGCAGGACCCCCGACAGCAGCAGGACCCCCGACAGCAGCAGCAGCAGCAGCAGCAGCAGCAGCAGAGTGTTGCGAGCAGCGCTCCACCAGCACATGCTGCAAGCAGCCTCGCAGCCGCAAAAGCCGCTAGTAGAACGCCTGGTGACTCTGTTTCCTCTGCCTCCACTACTGCCGCCAGCAGCGCCGCTGCCTCTCGCCTCAACTCCGCCCTCACCTCTCCTCTTGCCTCCTCCCGCTCCCTCTCCCCGGATCAATCCGAAGGCAGCAGCAGCATCAGCGGCACCCCTCCCTCCTCCCACTCTGCCCACTACCTTGCGACCGCAGCCAGGCATGCGCAGGCACCAAGTGGGAGGGGAATAGCAGTGGGGAAGGGTGTGGAGGGGCACGGTGCGTCCCTGCAGCAACCGCTGCTGGATGCAGCTGCAGGGGTGATGGGTGGCGTGGGGAGGCAGGGCGCAGGGGGTGGAGGAGGAGGGGGAGGAGGAGGAGGGAGAGGGGGAGTAGGAGGAGGAGGAGGTGGGGGGAGAGGAGGGGTTGGAAGCAGTGCGGCGAGTGATGGGGCGAGGACCCCTCGGTTCCGCTGGCAGAAGCTGAGAGTGAAGGGCAGGCAGCGAATCGTGCTCGCTGTAAGTTCACGCTAAGCTTGTCTTTATATATGTACATATATCTACACATATATACACATATATATTCATGTATATACATATACTTTAAGTGGACCTTTGCTGTATGAGACAAAATCATGTGAATCATGCAGCCCTTCATCGTTGTTTTGCCTTTCTTCTTATGCGCACCTGCCCCACCACCTTTTCGCAAGGCAACCCCTTGATGCTCCAGCATGTGACGTCCCGCCACCACGCACCACCAGGTGGTGAGGTGAGCTTCATCTCACTGCTCATCTGGTATGGCCAGCTTTTGAGTCGACTGAAGATGCCCTTTCCTCCCCCACCTCACCCCACCCCACCCACTGCCAGGTGGTGAGCTTCATATCACTGCTCACAGCAGTGTTCGCGTTCCTCATCTGGTACGGCTTCGGTGACAATCCCATCGACCCCACACTCATGGCTCAGGTCAGCAGCAGTGCTTGCCTGCCTCCGTGCCCCCTTGCTTGCCTCCTTGCCTCCTCGCCTCCTCGCCTCCTTGCCTCCTTACCTCTTTGCTTGCCTTCCTCCGTGCCCCCTTGCTTCCTTACCTCCCTCCTTGCCTCATCTGGTATGGCTTTGGAGACAATCCCATTGACCCGACTCTCATGGCGCAGGTCAGCGGCAGTGCCTGCCTCCCCTCCTCGCCTCCTCGCCTCCTTGCCTCTTCGCCTCCTCGCCTCCTTGCCTCCTTGCTTGCCTTCCTCCGTGCCCCCTTGCTTCCTTACCTCCCTGCCCTCCTCATATGGTACCACTTCGGAGACAAACCCATCGACCCACGCTCATGGCGCAGGTCAGCAGCAGCACCGCCTCCTTGCCTGGCTGCCTCACGCCTCCCTGCTTGCCTCTGCCCCCTGGCGTCCTTACCTCCCGCCCTCCCTCCCACTCCCACCCGGCCCCACGCCCATCAGATGCATGCGGACTTCTTTGCAGTCGCCACTCTCTTATCGGGAGGCGGCCTCGCCTTCTACGGGCTGCTGCTCTTCTCCAAGATGTCCGTGCTCAGAGCAGGTCCCAGCGCTGCTGACCTCAGCAAGGTAGGTTGTTTCTGTGCTGCTGACCTCAGCACCAATCAGCACCACTCAGCACAGCACCACTCAGCACCACTCAGCACAGCACCACTCAGCACCACTCAGCACAGCACCACTCCTTGTGGAGGTAAGCTCGCCTTGTACGGGTTGCTGCTCTTCTCCAAGATGTCCGTCCTCCGTGCGGGGCCCAGCGCTGCTGACCTCAGTAAGGTGAGAGTCGCGTGCTGTGAGGCAAGGCTGACCACCCAGCACCACTCAGCACCACTCAGCACCACTCAGCACCACTCAGCAGCACTCAGCAGCACTGACCAGCACGTAACGAGCAGCTGGCTCGCCTTCTACGGGCTGCTGCTCTTCTCCAAGATGTCCGTGCTCAGAGCAGGTCCCAGCGCTGCTGACCTCAGCAAGGTAGGTTGTTTCTGTGCTGCTGAACTCAGCACCAATCAGCACCACTCAGCACAGCACCACTCAGCACCACTCAGCACAGCACCACTCAGCACCACTCAGCACAGCACCACTCCTTGTGGAGGTAAGCTCGCCTTGTACGGGTTGCTGCTCTTCTCCAAGATGTCCGTCCTCCGTGCGGGGCCCAGCGCTGCTGACCTCAGTAAGGTGAGAGTCGCGTGCTGTGAGGCAAGGCTGACCACCCAGCACCACTCAGCACCACTCAGCACCACTCAGCACCACTCAGCACCACTCAGCAGCACTCAGCAGCACTGACCAGCACGTAACGAGCAGCTGGCTCGCCTTCTACGGGCTGCTGCTCTTCTCCAGAATGTCCGTTCTCAGGTCCGAGCCCAGCGCTGCTGACCTCAGCAAGGTGCGTGTGCCAACCTCAGAAAGGTGTATGCTGGCATCGTCAAGGTGCGGCTGGCATCATCAAGGTGCTGCTGACATCATCAAGGTCCTGCTGACCTTGGCGTTGGTGAAATTCGAGTGCGTGTACGACGCTGTGCAAAGTGAGGCTCATATGCGATGTATCGCGGAGTGCGTAAGCGTACAGGTTGTGTGAAACGCACTAGTAGCATACCCGATGCATGTCAAGTCAAGTTATGCAACTCAAGAGGGAGACGCATTTCTCCTCCAAACGTCCCTCTGCATGCCCCTCTTGCTTTCCCCCTTGCATCCCTGTCTGCATATCTCTCCCTCACATTCAACTCCTCTTTCATTTCACCTCCCCTTCCATTTCACCTCCCCTTTCATTTCACCTCCCCTTCCATTTCACCTCCCCTTTCATTTCACCTCCCCTTTCATTTCACCTCCCCTTTCATTTCACCTCCCCTTCCATTTCACCTCCCCTTCCATTTCACCTCCCCTTTCATTTCACCTCCCCTTTCATTTCACCTCCCCTTTCATTTCACCTCCCCTTTCATTTCACCTCCCCTTTCATTTCACCTCCCCTTTCATTTCACCTCCCCTTTCATTTCACCTCCCCTTTCATTTCACCTCCCCTTTCATTTCACCTCCCCTTTCATTTCACCTCCCCTTTCATTTCACCTCCCCTTTCATTTCACCTCCCCTTTCATTTCACCTCCCCTTCCATTTCACCTCCCCTTCCATTTCACCTCCCCTTTCATTTCACCTCCCCTTTCATTTCACCTCCCCTTTCATTTCACCTCCCCTTTCATTTCACCTCCCCTTTCATTTCACCTCCCCTTTCATTTCACCTCCCCTTTCATTTCACCTCCCCTTCCATTTCACCTCCCCTTCCATTTCACCTCCCCTTTCATTTCACCTCCCCTTTCATTTCACCTCCCCTTTCATTTCACCTCCCCTTTCATTTCACCTCCCCTTCCATTTCACCTCCCCTTTCATTTCACCTCCCCTTTCATTTCACCTCCCCTTTCATTTCACCTCCCCTTTCATTTCACCTCCCCTTTCATTTCACCTCCCCTTTCATTTCACCTCCCCTTTTATTTCACCTCCCCCTCCACCTATCAGATTGCATGGCTGGCGGGCATGTGTCTGCTCTGCTTCTCCCTCCGTGCGTTCATTGTCCTCGCCAAATACATCCCGGTCAGTCAATTTTTGAGGCGCCTCAAAAACCGTGCGTTCATTGTCCTCGCCAAATACATCCCGGTCAGTCAATTTTTGAGGCGCCTCAAAAACCGTGCGTTCATTGTCCTCGCCAAATACATCCCGGTCAGTCAATTTTTGAGGCGCCTCAAAAACCGTGCGTTCGTTGTCCTCGCCAAATACATCCCGGTCAGTCAATTTTTGAGGCGCCTCAAAAACCGTGCGTTCATTGTCCTCGCCAAATACATCCCGGTCAGTCAGCCCCCGGTCAGCCAAGTACTCTTGGTAACCCCCAGCACTTGCTTTATAGTCGACTCAAAAGCTTCTCCCTCCGCGCATTCATCGTCCTCGTCAAGTACATCCTTGTAAGTGCCCTCCCTCACATGCTAAGTTGCCTTTGAGACGTCTCAAAAGTTGTCTGCTCTGCTTCTCCCTCCGCGCCTACATCCTCCTCACCAAATTCATCTCGGTCAGTCCCATCTCGGTCAGTCCCATCTCGGTCAGTCCCCTCTCGGTCAGTCCCCTCTCGGTCCGTCCCCTCTCCTCACTCACGATTTCCTAAGATATTTACGTACCTTCGCACAGAGTAGAATCGTTCTTTAGCATCTATCGATGATCGCACCCTCATGCGCTATCCCCGTTTGCGTTCGCACTCACTTTCTCTACATGTGTTCTCACATCGTATTCGTGAAGTCCATACCAACGTACAAATGCTTTCGCTCCACTTCACTATCACAATTTGAGTTAACGTTTCCCACCCTTATTGATTGCCCCAATCGTGTTGGCCCTTATTCATTGTTCCTTACAGCCCATAATAAATTTCTCCTTCCGGGACAAGCATGGCAGCCTGCTGCCCTTCTGGTTCCTCGTCTACCACTGCGTAGGTGCGTTACCAGCGTTACCAGCATTACCAGCGTTACAAATTTTACCACCATTGCCAACGTTACCATCAGTGCCAGCGTTGCCAATTTTACCACCATTACCAACGTTACCAGCATTACCAGCAGTGCCAGCGAGGTGACTTTTGAGTCGACTCAAAAAGCAACCTGCTGCCCTTCTGTCTGGTTCCTCGTCTACCACTGCATAGGTGTGTTACCAGCATTGCCAACAGTGCCAGCATTACCAACAGTGCCCGCATTGCCAACAGTGCCAGCATTACCAACAGTGCCCGCATTGCCAACAGTGCCCGCATTGCCAACAGTGCCAGCAGTAGGTGCCATTGCCACTGCCACTGCCATAGGGGTGTGACTGCCGCTGCTGACGACGCCCCAAAAATAAACTGCCACTGCCTTAGGGGCACTGTCACTGGCTGGTCAGTGGTTTCTAAATCGATGGATAAAAATATTGTCAGAGGGGAATGTTAGGGCTGTGTCATTAAGGCTTCAACATGGCATGTCAAGACAGCTGCGATTCTTGAGGCGATTTTTGGCGTCATGTTTCAGCATGGATTGGCGGAGGGGAATGTTAGGGCTATCTTGGCCATGTTGAAGTCCTTCTGGTTTAGTGGTGTGATGTAATGCAGTGCTGCGCGGTGCGGAGCGGTGTATCCCCTCCACTCTTCTACCTTCCCGTCACACCATTCTCTCCCCTCGTGTCCCCGCCTCTCACATCAAGCAAATCCTTCCCCTTCCCTCCCCAAACGAGGCAGCCCCCTCAGCAATGGCGCTCTTCATTCTCAACGGCCTTCCTGTCACACCATACCCTCCCCTCGTGCACATGCCCATCAAACAATTCATTCCCCCCCCCAACCTCTCCCCTCCCCAAACGAGGCAGCCCCCTCAGCAATGGCGCTCTTCATTCTCAACAACCTTCGAGTCACACCATTCCCTCCCCTCTTCCTTCTTCTCTGCACCTGTCTTTCACATCACAATATTCTCGCCTGTTTCACTTCTCCCGCTCCTCCCCTCTTCTTCTTCTCGCCTGTTTCACTTCCCTTTTTCCTCGTCAGGCGAGGCAGTCTTCTCAGCAATGGTTCTCTCCATTCTCAACGACCTTCCCCTCACACCATTCCCTCCCCTCGTTTGCCTGCCCCCAATCTCATTCCCTCAGGCCTCTATCCTCTTCCGTCCCCTGCCAGGCGAGACAGTCCCATCAGCTATGGTCCTCTTCATTCGCAACAACCTTCCTTCCAAGTCCCGCCTCTCCTCCCCTCTTGTCCGTGCCACTCACATCGCACTATCCCTTCCTCTCTCCCTTCCCCTCCCAGGCGAGGCAGTCCCATCAGCCATGGTGCTCTTCATTCTCAAGGACCTTCCCATCACACCATCCTCCCCCCCCCCCCCCCCCCTCTTGTACATGTCCCTTCATAAACCTCCCCACCCTTCCATTTCAGGCGAGGCAGTCCCATCAGCCATGGTGCTCTTCATTCTCAAGGACCTCCCTCCCAAGTCCCGCCTCGCCTTGCCTCCCCTCTTGTCCTTGCCACTCACATCACTCAATCCCCCCTCTCCCCTCCCCTCGCAGGTGAGACAGTCCCATCAGCCATGGTGCTCTTCATCCTCAAGGACCTCCCTCCCAAGTCCCGCCTCCCCTCCCACCCCTCCCTTCTCCTCCTCCTCCTCCTCCTCCTCCTCTCGCCCCTCCTCTCGTCACGGCACCCGAACCCAATCCTCTCGCTCTCGCACTTCCAACCTCCCCACCACCACCACCTCCGCCTCCCCTCATCCACCGTCCATCTTCTCTTCTCTCGCCCCCGGACAGCCCTTGCTGGCCTCACCCATCGACCCAGCAGCAGCAGCAGCAGCAGCAGCAGCAGCAGCATCTTTTCTTCTCCCCGCTGCTCCCGTCGCTGCCGCTGGATCTGCTTCTGGTAGTGGTGGTAGTGGTAGCAATGGTAGCCATGGTGGGGTTGGTGGTGGGGGTGGGGTTGGTGGTGTGGGTGCTGGTGCTGGTGGTAGTGGTAGCAGTGGCGGCGGTGCTGCTGCTTTAGCAGGCTCCAGGCAAGGGGGGCATATAGGCAGCAACAGCAGCACCACTATTGCCCGTCTCCCCGCTCCTCCCCTCGCCCCTCTGCTTCCCCAGTGGGTGGTTCCCCCTGAAGGGGAACCCTACTCCGTCCTTCCCCCCGCTGCTGCTGCTGCTGCGAATTCCTTTGCTGCTCTTGCTGCCGCTGCTGCCGTGGCTGCAGCGGCAGAAGCTGCGGCAGCGGCAGCGGAGGCGGAGGAGCAAGGAAGGAGGAAAGGGAGTGGGAAGGGGCGCGGGAGAGGGAAGGGGCCCGGTGGGAGAGGGGGAGGAGGGGGGGCGGAGAGAGGCGGGAAAGGGGGAGGAGGCAGGGGGAGGGCGAGGGGGGAAGTGGGTACAGAGGGTAATGCAAGAGGGCCTGTGAGTGCAGATGCAGGGGTAACTCTGGCTGGAGCGAGTGGGGTGGGGGGAGGGGCGGTTGGGGGTGTAGGGGGGAGGGGGGAGGGGGCTCCTGTGGGAGGAGGACGAGGAGAAGGGAGAGGAGAAGGAGCAGGAGCATTGGGAGGAGCGGGAGGAACGGGGGACGGTACAGAGAGTGCAGCTCGAGAGAGAAGCAAGGCAAAGAAACCGTCCCGGGTGAGTGCCTTGACTTTTGAGGGGCCTCAGAAACCATCTAGGTTGAGTGCCTTGACTTTTGAGGGGCCTCAGAAACCATCTAGGGTGAGTGCCTTGACTTTTGAGGGGCCTCAGAAACCGTCCAGGGTGAGTGCCTTGACTTTTGAGGGGCCTCAGAAACCATCTAGGGTGAGTGCCTTGACTTTTGAGGGGCCTCAGAAACCGTCCAGGGTGAGTGCCTTGACTTTTGAGGTGCCTCAGAAACCGTCTAGGGTGAGTGCCTTGACTTCAATCTCAATCTCGCTGAATCCGTTTTTTGAGAAACCTCAAAAACAGAGTGCAGCTTGTGACAGGAGCAAGCCAAAGAAAACGTCTTCGAGGGTGAGTGCTTAGAGTTGACTTGAAACCGTCTAGGGTGAGTGCCTTGACTTCAATGTCCAGCTCTTTTCTTGTTTCCCGTTTGTTGATTCCTGCCCTCTCCCATTCGCACATCTGCCCCCAGCTGCTTGTCACTTTCACCTAGCTGCTCACCAAACGCCCCCCAACCAACTGCTCTTGCCGCAATTTTCCTCTCTCTCTCTCTCTCTCTCTCTCTCTCTCTCTCTCTCTCTCTCTCTCTCTCTCTCTCTCTCTCTCTCTCTCTCTCTCTCTCTCTCTCTCTCTCTCTCTCTCTCTCTCTTTTCACTCTCCTTGCTTCCGCGCTCCTTTTTCCCCAACCATCCATCCCCCTCATTGATGCTCCCCCCTCACCCATCCTGCCTCCTTGTTACTCCCTCCCCCCTCTTCTTACTCCCCTCCTTCCAAGCAGCTTCGCATGGCCAGCTAACTGATCCTGGCCTCGCCATCTGAGGTGATTCCACAGCTCTTCCTATACTCATGGAAACAGTAAGAAGGCATTGACACGGTATATTTCTATGTGGCCAGCTCAAGCAGTATATAGTGATGGCCAGACACGGAGATTGCTGTGCAGTGTTGTGGGAACGGAATCTTCTTTCGTAAGCTGCAACGAAGAGCTGCAGCTGGTGCAGTGTGGTGCTGCGTGGTGAGAGCATTGAACCGGTGCTTTTGGCGGCCACCGTGGTAACTACCGTAACAAGCATGGAAATTCAACTTTCTATTGAGAGACTCTAGTGCTCAGGCCACTTGGCTTCGTAACAGGTCATGTTGTTTGATTGCAAGGGGCACCCAATTTTGACTTAGTAAGAGGTTGATACGTCCCACCCAGGACATATGGCGGAAAATGAAGAGCAATTGACTGCAATGCCAAAAAACAAATCAGACATAATATTTATTACATACCGACTGTGAGACGTGAGCATTTGGCCGAGTGGTTAAGGCGTGTGCCTGCTAAGTACATGGGCTCTGCCCGCGAGAGTTCGAATCTCTCAGTGCTCGAGCGATAGTAGGTCGTTCTGCTTTTTTGTTTCGAGTTTTGAATAGCCGAATTGATTGGATTGGTATTGGTGCTTGCCGTCAATGGCATGGGGTTTCACCACCTTGCCATTCCTTGGATGCTTGTTCAGAATGGCACAAAATAATGCAATTCCATATTACTTGTTCAGAATGGCACAAAACATTGCAATTCAGTTTCAATGAGAACAGCACATTCCAAGGACAACAATCAAGGATGAGGAAACCATTCAATGACATTCTCCAGCAACCATATCCTCCGAACCCCGAAAACCTTTTACAATCAATCAACAAAGACTCTAAAGCATGTAGCTGACACAACCAGGTGTCCCCCAACTAAACTCCCAAACTTCAAATCTATTACCCTGCTGCTCTTGCTACTGCTGGTGGTGTCAGCACCATGCCTTAGGGCCGCATTGTAAAACTGTTCCGATGCACTACCTGCTGCCACCACATATGTCCCGTTGAGATCATGCCCCTTTTTGTGAGACTCCATTCTCCTGCCGATGGCTCCCTCCCATCTCATCCCGTCCTCCTCTAATCTGCCCATGCTACCGCTCCACACCACTCACCACCAACCTATGGTAGATTTGATGAAAAATGTCTAACCCACTGTAATACGCTGAACTGCAGGCAATATCCTCTCATACCGTATTGCCTTCCAAAATCTACATCCTCCCCTTACTTCCGATGCACTGCTCCCTTCAAACCGTGACCCACCTTTCCCAACCCCACCTTACCCAGGCCCACCTTCCCCAACCCCGCGCCACTCTTTTTATTCCCAAACGCCTCCTTGTGCAAAAACAGTGCGCCCCACCTCCCTCCCTTTTCCGCCTCCGCTTCCGCCTCCGCCTCCCCCTTGCTGCTCCGGATCCGCGCGGCTTCGTGTTGGAACACAACCAGCACGGTTCGCGTCGCCATCTGGAGAATCGTGTGGATGCATCGTTTGAAGATCGCCGGCGGTGCGAGCGACGGCTGCACCACCTGATGCAGCGTCAGCCGCGACGCCACGCGCACGCCCGCGCCGACCGCGGCGGCGTCCCCCGCGCCGCCCGCGCCGGGGTCCGCGGAGCTCGGCAGGCGGTCCGGGCTGCTGCTGGCGCTACCAGGCCAGTCGGTCTCGTCGCCTTCCGGGCTGCCCGACGGGAAAGAATCCGATATGGGTAATTGCGGGGCGGACGTAAATTTAGGGGAGCAGGGGGCGGAGGAGGAGGATATGGAGGCTAGAGAGGTGGGGAAGGGGGCATTCGCGGACGACGCGGGGACGAGAAGCGGCTCGACCTGCCAATATCCCTCGAATTTGCGCATGAATCCGGGGTGCGTGAGCGCGAAGGTCATCCTGCGGTTCGGGCGATCGTGCACCATCCGCACTTCCGCGTCGAATGTGCCTGTAAAGAAGGGCAGCTGGAACGCGAAGACCATGTCCATTTCGAGCTCCTTCACCCCGTTACAGTCCCTCACGACGCGCTCGTTCTTCACGGATTTTATGTTCTTGAACACGCGGCGGTTGTGCGGATCGCACACGATGGAGAAGACCGAATCGGGAGGGAGCGCGACCGTCGCGACGCCGTCGAGTTGACAGAGCGCGTTATCGCCGACGGTAACCGTCATTGACGGAACTTCGTCGACGAAATCCGGGTCGTCGAACCACGTGGCGAGCTGAGCGCGCATGGCCTCCTCCCAGGCCTCCGCTGTGGCGGCAGCAGTGCCTGACGTGGCGTTGGTTGTGGTTGACGTGGCGTCGGTTGCAGCTGACGTGGCGTCGGTTGGGGTTGACGTGGCGTTGGTGGTGGTTGACGTGGCGTCGGTGCCGGTGGGGGATATGACTTTGGAGGTGGCGGCGAAATCGAGAATCGAAAGAAGTGAAGAAGCCATTGCGAAGGTGGTTGATCGCTGGTTCGCGGAAAGCGTTGACAGCACTTGAAACGCGAGTATTAAAAAAACAGCACTTAGAGTCCAGATGCGACGCACAGGCGACGCGACGTAGATGTCGCGATGCCCAGTAAAGATCTCAGCGTCTTTTCTTGACCCTAACGCGCACTGAGGTCGTTTTCGCCTTGGTGCGCAGACGGGGGCAGACGTCCAAGCGGACTCCGTCAAAGAAGAGAGCGACAGAAGCGATGAGTACACGAAAGAGTGGCGACGGATGCGACGAGCGAGCTTGGCGGTGGAGGGAGGACAGGAATCGGAGAACGTCGCTTTGTTGTGAGTGATAAAAAGATGGTGACTGGGACTGATCTAGGCGGCGATCCCAAAAGCGTGGAGAACTAGGGTGAAATGGTTACAACAAGAATGAGATGTGGCGAGCAAGTTAGGCGAGAAACAGGGCAAGTAGGATGTGACGGAAATAGGTGAGAGGGCGGCAAGGAAGCTGCAAGACCGGGAGGGGATGGGCTCGCTAGGCTTCCCTCTCGAAAGGGCGCGTGTCTTTTGAATTTTAGGCTGCGTTCATGTTTTTTAGTCGAGGTTCCACGTGTGAACCTAGGCCGACCTGCACTCGATATCTCAACTTTTTGTCCCGAATCGCGAATTGCCAACTTGCAAAAAGCACGAGGCACACCAAAGTTCGAGACGAGGTTCAACTTTCGTAAGTTACCGGGTTCTCACGCCTGGACGTTGGCGACAACGGGCATCATCCATTTGGCGTCGGTTGTGCACGCTATGTGATTTGCGACTATCGCATAATTCGCATTTTCAGGATGCATGCCCATCAGGACACACGCTTCACCTAACGTGCACTCGACAAATTCTCACGAGAGTTCAACCCAGGTTCAGTGTCCCACTTCATCGCCATTGCCAGAGATTGGACACACGATTCTCGCGAAGAGCTGTTGTCGAAATTAGCAAAGCGGGTTGCCAGAAAAGGGTCGACCTATTTCTTGATCTCTGCAACAGAAAAAACGCGTCCTTAGGTTGCGCTCAGGATACATCCATCTCATACGTCTGCTACACGGGTTTTGCGTATCATTTTGGACTTCAACACACCAGTTCAAATCGTTTCAAAACGATTTGAGGGCGCATTCGTATCCCGTGTCAGGCATCAAGTCATCAGCCCTTAGTCTCCAATTTGTCTCTTCCTAACCTTCAATCGCCCCACAAACGAGCCACTTCGGGGTTTCCGAACCTCAACTTCGTGTCTAGCCTTGTGTCTGACACGGGATACGAATGACCTAGCCCGCGCCAACTTCACCATGGCTAATTTCACCCCCTGTGAAATCATTTTTGAATTACCCGATATTGAAGGGTCGTGTCTAATGCTTTCGTTTTAAAGAGGGTACGTTGCAGACGTCTCAGACACGTTAGAGGGGACCAAAAACGGGTCGCAATTAAACTATGGTCGATTCGCTCCGGCATAAGCGCGGGAGTTTTATTAATACCTTGACCCTGTCTGAGTTGTTGATAGTCTTCAAATTCGGGGATTTCATCGGTCAAGCCAACATCGGGTTCAGGGTGCTTTCCGAAACAAGTTGCAGGGCGTGAAATTGGCGAGGGCTAGGTGTAGCATGAACTGTAAATGTAGATGATTCGGACCCCCAAGCAATTTGATGGCGGAGCGGAGATGACAAGGTCTATGTGGCATTTGAATAGGAATGTGCTGAGATGTTGATCGGAGATTGCACATATTTTTGCAGATCTGGTTGAATATATCATTGTAACTTTCGCGAATGCTTGAGAACAGACAGGGAGTAACGAACAGACAGAGATGTTGGGCTGGGCAGGAAATAGACGGAGCATAGCATCGCATCGCGTCACATTGCAGGAGGCGGCGCAGGCCAGGGGTCTTGTCTCGTCGCCCCACCTGACGGCGGATCACTCAAAGGTGTGACGACGACGACGACGACGTCACGACGACGGCCCTACCGTTTTCCGGAGCCTCCCCTACCTCCCTTGCACCAGAATGCGACCTCATTGGGCACCGCGTTCTGTTGACGGCCGAATTCGTGCGGGGTTGTGCGGCTCGAAAAATGAAAGGATACAGAAGCTTCAGCGTTTGTGTCAGCAGTTGTTTCGATAATGACGTCCTCGTTCGTTCACTCACTTGCAGTGTTTATAAATTTAGTCGTATACTTGCCAAATTCTTGCCATGTACATGTACATCAGAAAAACGTTGGATGATTGATATCTCCTCCGACTATCTACCTATACACGGCTATTCAAACACAGGAGTTCCAGAGTTGAACTGCTCGGTCTCGCTTGGGAACGATCGGTACGGCAAGGGCGTCTCCACAATCGTGACACGTGTCTTGATTCTGACGTCAGAAGCATCTGATCCTTTTCTCTGGAACAGACCCTCTCGTTCTGGGGGCTGACCGTGACGACAATTCATTCTGACGGTCACGGTTTCATGGAGTGCATCTAATACATACGTACAGTGTTTTTTCCCGCGGATCCGCGCACGTGAAACAGGCGACGGGA